ACACAGGAAGAAAGAGCAAGAACAGCATAACTAAACATTTTCCCCTGGTTCATAATTCTCCTAGGAGTTCATCTCTGCTTGCTGGACACTACAGGAAAGTTTCTTACCCGCCAATTTCTAATTCTCTTGAGCCTGCTAGGTGTTTTCTCCAGTATTTGCAGAAACTCATGAGTTAGCTCTGAATAAGAAAAAGAAAAGCCATTTTTACATCTGATTCTGTTATAAACAGGTAGAACTTAGTCTAAGGTTGTACAGATTTTGCAGTAGATACTACAGTCTGTGCATGAGCTGAATTAAAATTTTAATAAATTGTTAGTCAAGTGTGGAACAGAAAAGTTTACAGTATTCCACTGGGACAGACTTCTGACAACTACACACATTCTGAAAAACAGGTTTAACTGTAATATTTTGTTTTTACTCTAGCACAACTTGGATTTGTTAGACCAAAAACTATAAAAACAACAGTATCTAAAATAACATACTTGCCATTCAGCCTGTACACATTCTATATGGAGTTAAGTTTCCTTGAAAGTATAAATTTCTAAGTCACTGTTTCAGTCATTCCATCAAACTTCAGAAACAACCAATATCAGCTCTGTACAAACCACAGCCATCACACCCTTGGAAGGACTGTTTTAAACAACAGCTTTGAAATAATTTGTGTTCAAGGTGGAGTAGGTGGCTGTGTTAGTAAACAAAGATCCTTACAATTAGTATGCCCACAGGAAAGTACACATCTCCATGCTCATCAGCTGCAAATAAAAATACTTTTCATTGAGACTTAATTCTAGGCATAAGCTAAAAATAATTGGGTACAGTCAGAATTTGAATGCAAAAATACATCTTTTACAGGTCTGGGAGAACTGGCTTCTCCAGAATTCCACAAGTAAGTTATAACCTAAGCTGCTCCCAAATGCAAAACTACCTCAGCTCTTTGGTCTACCTGGGTCTGTTAAACACCCCAGCTGCAAAAATGCCTGAAGGATTAAGTGACGTTCACAAGGAGCTCACAGCATTCCCCTGGGGGATTTCACAAATCCAAACAATGCATGTTTACCACAGCCAGGTGGGAAGGCAGCAGGGTGGTGTTTGCAACTGCAGCTACAGCTCAAAGAAGCCTGCTAAGACAGAGAAGTCTGAGCCTGCACTTTGAAGCTCACTCAGGTTCTGTGCTTCACGTGACATCTACTCCATTTCTCACTTTCAAACCCTCCCTCCCCAGAGTGCCATTAAGGAAGAAGAGCTCAGCAGAGGAAAACAGCAGGCACAGAGTCAGTGCTGGGCCATCTGAGGCCTGGAGAGCTCCACCACTACTGTGCAACAAATGTTCCACTGCAGGACCAACAAAGTGCAAAGATATGAAAGCCCCAGGAGCTCCCACCTCCTCTACAGCAGCACACCTGGCCCTCCAATTCAGACTCCACTGTAGTAAATACTAACTTGAGAGACAGCAAACTTCTAGGTGTAGGATGTTCTAGGCATATGCTTTCCTCTTACCACAGTCTGAGATCCCACAGGCTACACCAAACTGTTAACACAGAAGTGCCTTCATAAACATGGCAATTTTATGTACAGCCTGATGGAACAGGCACTGAAACAACACTGAGGTACCTGAAACAATGGGACTGCATGAATGTGCCCTGACAGATGTCCATCTCTGCCTTGGTTCTGAAAAGCATTTAAAAGCAGGATTCTATCCTGCAAAAGGTATGTGGACACCCCAGCCAAGAGCCAAACCAAGTTTGTCTTCTGAAGTTCTCCCCATTCCTATGCTTTCTTTCACTGAAGATACAGCACATGAAGTCAATGAGACTCCATTTCAGCTGAATGCTCTCACTACATAGTCTGCTCCATCCTTACATGAATAAACCCTTGAATTTCAAAGTGAGACAGGAGCACGGCTTACCATCTAGTAGTTCTAGAGTAACTGAGGGATCTACATATTCCCACCAGTGTTTTCCATCAGTTGATACTGGAATCTCCCAGTTGGACCACTTGCAGGCCAAGTGAATGCACACACATGCTATCACTGTGGGCTTGTACTGAAGACAGAATGTGGTAAGGTGAAGGCTGTTGCACACATTTCGTAATGAGGAACCAAAGGAAATCAAACATGTAAAACAGAAAATCCAAACAAACCAACCATTAACATACAGAATGAGACAGCTTGTCAATCAACAGCAGTTAAACATTTTGTTGAATAAGTTCATAAGATACTGCCCTAAGAAAACAGAGGGCAGGGCATTTATCCGGTAGAAAAGTTTAATTTGATTTTGCTATCAAAAGCCTGAGGAACAGTAAATAAATTTACCAATTATTCTACTGTACTCAAGTACTAGAAAGGGCAGTATAATATGGTGAATTAAATTCTGCAGTATAATGCATAGAGCTAATTGTTCAGTCTCTGAAATGAGACAATCAGAAGGTCCCCAGCAGTTGCACAGCAGCCAGGTGAGTTATTTGTGGGCTTTGCTTTCACCAGGCCTGGGTTTGTGACGTTTGTGATGTTGTCCTCAGCTTCCAGCACCACAAACCCATTGGTTCACTTTCACTGCTTTAGCATAACTTCCCTTAACAGCTGCTTAAGTACAGAATCTTGCCCATCAAGGAACCACCAGGAGTTATTTATTTATTTTAACAGTTCTAATAACCAGCAGATACTGTTTAAAAACTGTATCTACACATAATGTAATTCTCTTAAATAAAGGTTAAAGTAGTTTTGCAAGAGGCAAATTGAAGTAATCAAGACTAAAGTCTGCTCTCTAATTCTTTCTATGACAGGCTACGTCTACAAAACACCCACTTGGAATCCTAGGACTATAAATTTATCTAAGTACTTAAGTTTTAAAACTATATATAAAGATTAAAGAGCTGTTTCTAAAAGAAATAACATTGGGCTAGTACTAGTCTATCTAAAAAGAAAAATCAGCTAGTTGAAAATATCTTAGGCCCACTAGGATTTTATAAGTTAAGACTGAATCAATATACTTAAAGTTAAGAGAAAACTGCCATTAACTACAAGTGTAAACTAAAAATAGTTTTGTACTTACCAAGACGCTCGGATTTCTAGGTTAAGTTTATCTCTTTGTAATCTTTAGCTGCTATTCAGGCTACCAATTTTAGACTTATGCACTCACAATCGAGAAAAAGTCATCAGAAAGCACCACTACACTTCTCATTGTGCATTTAAGCCCTTTGTGCCATCAGGCCCTTGTCCAATACACCGCACTGCAGGCGGGGAGGTACCACCACTGGAGGTGGCCCAGTCCCCCACTGCAACAAGGGTAAGACACATCAGGGGGCCCTGCAGTAAAGGAAGCTATAGTGTGCTACAACAGTGCAACAAAGAGGTTCAGGATAACAACCTGTTGGTAGCCATGAAATAGGATGTCTGTGCCAAATCCTTGCTTGCTGTAAGAAAAGAAAAACAAGAGAGATTAAAGATCTGCACTAATTTGTCAGGTTCATTCCAAAATTCAAGCAGTTTTACCTTCCAAAAATCACCGCTGGGTATTTCTAAAGTGTTGATCTGGCTTTAGCTAACTAGCCTTTAGAATGATCTTTTCTGAGATGGAGAAGACTCAGACACACTCAGTACTGGAGCTGGACCTGTCATTCCCTCAGTGCCCCTCCCTCCCCTGCAGAGCCCAGAGCACAGCTCCCCTCCAACAGCTGCCAGGTGAGCACTCTCCTCTGGGAAGCGCTGCTTCCCCACCCTCACCTGCAGGGATCCCTGCTTGGAGCTGGGAGTGCAGCAGGCAGTCAGTCCCAGCCAGGTCACAGTGCTCCATCTGCTCTTGGAGCGGGCCATGGCACCCTCCCACCTCCCCAGACACAGCCACAGCTCTCTCCCAAAGCCCTGCAACACAGCCAGCCCCCAAGCTACCTGGGGAAAAATTCACTTTTCTGCTCCTTCTAATTAAGAGCACTGTAATCACAACATTTTGCTCCATATTTGTTAAGTCTATGGCAAGGCTTCGATAGGAAACAGACAAATTCATCTGAGTTAGTCAGAAAAAAATACTGAAACAAACCACAGGACTGCAACATGCCAGGAATGAAAATCTGACTTGGGCTGCTACAGCCACAGAGTGCTGACCCCTGCAGTGACTCCCCAATGCTCCTCACTCAGGTAAGAGAACTTACTGTAACATGCATTTAATGGAATAGCTGGGCACAAGGGGTTTAACCGCAGATTGAATGCAGCCTTCATTGAATTCTTACTTTGACACTATCACTTGAAATCAGTGCTACCTGCAGAAAGCGTAGTGTTGGATTTCATGTCAAAGGGAATACTGGTAAACTTTTAATAATATTTCTAGAAAGTTTGAGAAATACTACAGTGGCTTTTAAATTTAGTTTTTGAAAAGCATATTAAAATGTGATTTAACTCAACTTCTAATAATTGCCAAAGAATAAAATTCAGATTTGTTTTTATGCTACACAGCCAGGAAGTGCCATAATCTAGGAAGAATGTGGAAGTTGCAAGGTAACAGGATCTGTTCCTACACACAAATTCTACTAATCCATAATAATCAGAAGATGAACTGACAATGTGTTATGCCATAATAATTAGTTAGCATGCTGTAATGGTAATTGCATGCTAAAAAACCAAGGAGTTCAAACTCTTCCTCCCATCTAAAAAGAAGATGGAATCACCAAAAAAAAAAAAAAAAGGAAAAAGTAAAATGAGACTGTCATAACAAAATACACAGTGATTGAGTAAGACTGAAATTGATGTCTTGCTCTTCATTTTTCATCAAAGCAATGCCTAACGGATCTTCAATGATTTATATATTCTGTAAAGTTACATGTTTGAATTAAGGGAGCAAGACCAAGAAGCATTTCTACTCTCTCTGAAGTGCCCCTTCTGGACAAGGAAGAAAAGCAGATGCCAGAAAACTTCTATTTAACATCAGCTTGAAAGATGAGTAAATCATAACACATACCTGGAAGAAAAGAATCACATCTTGAAACACACACTTTAGCCTCAATCAAAAATTACTGTGCTAAATATGTTACCTATACTAAAAGCAGTATGATTCTGTTTCAATTTACTTACAGCTAAATAATAATCATTGCTAAAACCAGCAAGAAACTTCAGCTCACAACTAAAGCCTTTGATAACACAAGGCACAACTGAAAATATCCATCCCAAACTCTTCTATGTAGGGCAGCTTTGGTTTAGCAGAATCCATCAATGAAATTAAACCTAATGAATTTTGGTTCCTGTATTTTGGTGGTTTATTTCCATTACAGTGGTGGAAAGTGCATCTCCAAAATTTAAATCACCTTGAAGCAGGGGCTAAAACAAGCCAGCAGAGCTGCTCTTATAACTCACAAGCTGCAGGACCAATGGCTACGACACCAGCCATGAATGACCAGTTTTAGATTTCAGCATTTAGGAGTGATTTCAAACATCCATCCTCTCTCACTGCTGCAGAAGCAGCCATAAAACATGGATCAGTGAAATAGTCATCAATTTTTGAAACAGGATTTGCTATCTGACACACCTTCTGAGAGACTGTCTCCAAGGAACTGCCAACTGGAAACCAAAATGCTTTTTATTGGGCATAGCCACTCAATTCACTGCTTGCAGTTCCAAGACACCTGAGTCTTTTCTTCAACACAGCTGGTCTTGGGATGCTCATGAAAACGTGACTGCCAAGTCCCCATTAGGAGCTGGTAACTGGTTATGCCTGGCCCCTGACAATGTGTGAGCATTCACCAGAAAGAGGAGATGGCAGATAAGCCAGTCAGCATCAGAGGAGAGAAGCGTGCTGAAGTCCTTCTGGCAAAAGCAAAAAGCCCCAGGCTCTGAACACAGGGATGCTGGAGGGTGCCTGTTGTATCTGGAAAGGGCTGGAGGAGGCCATGGTGTAGGCATTCAGCTCTGAGCAGTCCTGGTGGCTTTAATTCTTGAAAGTATTTAAAGCTTGGGAACAGGCCCACAAAAACCTGAGGTCAAAGTTCAGAATGGGACGGCCGCCTGTAGCAAGTGCTGGAGTGCAGTTGGTGTTTCACATCTTTCCACACCACTAAGATTCAAATTTTCCTCATGAGAATACCCTCTAAAAAAGCTGAGGCATTTTCACCTTGTCTTCTGCTGATTTTGTCTTTCTCAGCCTGATTTAAGCAATGGCATCTGCACACAGATACTATGGGATATCTGAAGGATTTGGCAGTGCAATTTTCACTACAGATCAGTAAGAATCATGGGTGATCGAGATACCTGATAACCTGCAGAGTAGTGAGAACAATCCTAGAAATCCTTGAGATCTCATCTTCAGTTCCAAAAGGTTGTGTTCCAGCACAGAAAAAGGAGAGACTGAAGACTTCCCAAGGTGGAGATGAGGATACAGATTCCAAGTTTCACCAGAAGCAGGCTGAGAACAGACTGATATTGCACCAGAGTGTAAGAGGACCATGCCACACTCTTGGCACCAGGGCAGTTCCAATGCTGATCCCTCAGCTAGTGTTGAGGCCAGCAAGGGCAAAAACCAGAACAGTTTTTGGTGTTTTGGTGGGGTTGTTTTTCCCCTTTCCTTTTTTCCTTTCTTCTCTTCACTACTGGAGCATTCTTGGAATGGACACTGAAGCTTGCTGACAGGCCCTCACATATCCACTGCCTTCAGATTCCTTGGACCTGTGGGATGCTAAGGAATGATGGTCCTGTCTCCTCTTCTCAGTCTCTTGACACTGAGGAAGAATGGTGCAGAAAAAATACTAAGCCCACACCATTTTCCTTGTCTGCTATACTGACCAAACTGCAAAGATGGAACAATTTCATTAACCCACGAGTCTCTGAACACCAGAAGGAGTAACTGGATATTGCATGCCTGAACATCATCAATCATTATCTATCCATCCAGTCACCCCTTCTCTGCAATGATCTGTGTTGTCTAGTAACACCTTCAAAAGGCTTTCAATTTTAGAGAAGAATTCAGTTTTTCTTTAGTTGTATGTTGAAGCAATTATATTTATTACTTACTACTTCATCTTCAGCTTCCAGCAATTGATTCTGGTGTGCCACTGCCAGACTCTGGTGTGCCACTGCCAGACTAGATCAGTCTTCTGACAAAGCACTTGGTTGAGTTTTTTGAGCATCGTCAGCACAACCTGGGTTTTTATTCTTTCATTTTGTTTTTAAAGGGGATATAGCTTACATCTTAGTAACAGGTTAACAGTGACTGCATAAAATGAATTACCCTGGATGCAAGACAGCAAAAAGTGATGGAGAGAATCAGCCATCCTCTGAGGCACTGCAGTTTAGTCAGCCAAAGGCCCTTTCCCACCACCTGACAATGCAGGGCACAAACCCTAAGCCAAATCCTGAAACACACTTGCAGACCTCAGCTAACTTTGCTGCTTCTTTTTGATATTCAGTCAGACATGAGATTCCTCCCTTCCTCCTCTCTCCAAACATGCTGTTGGAAGTTTTAATCATAACAGGCTTGGGGAAGTTAATCATCTTTATTCCAAAAAGGTATCTCTGCCTTCTGAAATGGTGGATTTTTTTGTCCAAGATGATGTTCCAGAACTGGATGAAGTAACCTTGGATTTCTTTAACTTCTCAGTCAATCCCTTTAGCACTAAAGGTTTAACACTGAAAAGCTCAGGTATATTTTAAAAGCTTCAGTACTCAGATATCTGAGTGTTGCATCTACTGGCCTTGAAAACCCACACTGTCCAATAAATAAATGTTCAGGGACAGAAAACTGAACTCCTACCACTGTGTCTGTGCAGATAATCACAGTGCCCATGGCTCCATCTCCCTGTCCTCTCAACACACCAAACCAACGTTCCATGGCTGTTATTCTGTCCTTGCCTGACTTGCATGCATGACTTCAAATCTCATGCCTGATGTTTTAAATGAATTAATTAGTTTCCTTTTTCTTATTTTACTATGAGGTGCTCACATCTTGTGTTCACAGTCTACACCACTCCCAGGGACATGCTGCCAAGGATTCCATCCCCACACACACTAAGGAGCACACCTCCTCCAGTGAGCAGGTTTTGAACATCAGACATTGCATTCACCAGTCCTTGAGCTACATGGACTTTCAGCCCTCACTGAAGTCTTCAAATTTCAAGACTTGATATCACTTTAGACTTCTAAGTATTTTTCAAGTCTTCTGACATTAAATACTAGTTTAAAGATGTCAAATGAAAAAATTCACAGTATCTTCAAAGTATGAACTTTGTCAGTACAAAAAATTAGCTTACAAAACACAAAGGGAAAGGCTGAACTGCTTTAGAGTGGTATCTACCCTTGAAGCAAGGAAATCCAGTTTGTGTAGCAGTGTGCCTGCAGGCTTGAGTGACACACACTGATGAGGAAATCCTGAGGCAATACAACACTCCCCCAGCCCTCCCCACAGCCCCAGACACCAAACAGAAGCACAGGGGCTCCCCAGGAGAGTAAAATGTGCTCACATTTACAGTGACCAACAGCCAAGAAAAGCCAAAGCAAAACCCTACAGAGCAGCTGGTGCAGACTACTGAGACTTCAGGTGCAGCTGGACTCATGCACCAAGTCACAACCAGATCTGGGCAGAAAACAAAGAATCCTTATCTTACAGCAAGGAGAGCAATAGAACTGCTTTAAATGCAAGTAAGTTACAGCACCAGCCCTACTCAGTGTCCAAGACACTCACCAGGCAGCTACAGCAAATAAGAGACACCTTCCTTAAAAGAACACCGTTAATTCCAGAGTTACTACAAACCAAATCTAGTTAACAGGGTCAGGCTGTACCTAAATTTTATATATTTAATAGAGGGAGAAGAAAAAACACCAAAAATTTAGAAGCACTTATGCATTTCTTACTGCAAAACCAGCTAATAACTAGAGACTAACAACCATGGTCTAATAATTTCAAAACACTTTTTTACTTAATAAACATAATTAAAGTGAAAAACTTATTTTAGATGCTTTTACAACTGATCCCTAATTTTTTTCATCCTACATCTTATAAGAGGGTGTTTTAATCTTTTTTTAAAGCTCCAAAAGAAACCAATTCAAGAAGTAAAGAAGATATGCCAAAATGCCACAAAAAATATAGAGAGGAAAGCAGATTTCTAGCTCAACATGAATGAGCTGCAGACAAGTTACAGGATATGTGTAACTAAAGGTTTGGGTTTTGTGCTCCCATCCAGAGCAAGTAAGGACACACTGCTACAGAAAAACAATTAGTCACCCCTATTGCATGTGACAGCAGACTTGCTATGCACTCTCCATCCCTCACTGCATTACCTGAAAAGATTTGCTAAGACAAAAAGCTGGCATTAGCCATCAATGGACAAAACTACTTCAGAGTGAAAATCATCAGCTCAGCACCAAAGTATGGATCTGGCCAATGAGTCTGCAACTGCTGACTGCTCTGGCTCTCCAGAACACATGCAACAGGTACTATTAAAAACAAAGCTAATAAGGAAACAACAAAAAAAATGAAGGACAAAAGACTGGACTCTGACTCTCTAAGGTAAATATCAAACTTTTAATAATTAATTTTAAACATACTCTTTGGATAACATAGCTGGTGAAAAATCCTGTTAGACAAATTACATTACTTTCAAATTTTACAAGAAAGGTAAAAAAGGACTTACAGAAGTGGTTAAAAGTCACTGACCTCTCACTAACTGTGTACATTTCACAACATCTGTGTGTGGATGTTCAATGGTAATCTCAAAACCTGAGGGGTTACAAATACATTTTAGAATTATACATTGCATCTGTAAAATAAAAAACAAACCCCTTATGTTCCCCCACAGACCTAAAATACTTGCAAACCTTTGCACTGTAGAATAATTAACACTATTTAAGTGCCTTTTATTCTTTACCTTTTCATACTTTTGAATGGCAGATGGTAAAGCCACTTTGTAATCCATTACTAAAATATTCCTCCAGTAATCTCAAATCCTGTACACACATAACCTGGGAAATTACTGTATTTTTAAAGCTGAATATATCTGAACAATTTCTAGCAAGTCAGTAAAAACTGCACTGCAAACACAATGGTGTGCATGTATACATTTATTCATTGATTTCTAGCACTTAAATATGTTGCATGTATGAAATTAGAATTAAATCAATTTGTACATCCGTGACTTAAGAAATCCTTCTTGGTTTATGACACTGTTTTAAGAACTAGGTCACTACTGTGAGCTATTTTTTTTAACAATACCCCAAGTGGTATTTAAGAATATCTGAGCAAGTCACTGCTCTCAAGCCTCTGGCTGTAATTGTGTCTGTGGTATTTTAGTCAGAAGAGTGTCTTGACAGAACATTCCACTTCAAATTTTGGAATCATCTGAATCCATGAAATGGCTACACTCCAACTTGTTTTCTTCAGAGTCAGCACCTGCTGAATTACATAATGGAAAGGCAGAATGGGGAAGAGCACTGGGTACAAAGCTCTCTCCAAATGCTCCAGGACATGCACAGCCAGTCTACTACACCATGCTACCTTATGGGAAGAAATGTCAATGTAATTACTACTTGGAGTAAAATCTGTTTGGAAGCCTACACATTTCTACCTCAAACTGTCAGAAACATCTCTTTCACAAGTACAGACACACCTTTCTTCTCCACAGTGAACACAGCAGAACTGCTAACACAAAACTCAATTCAGAAGTTATACAGGAAAACAGTTAAATTCTAGTGTACCAACAGCACATGAAAAATCCAGTTATTTGGGTCCCACTAGCTCTTCATGGCAAGCTGGCTGCACAGGAGGTATTTAGAAAGACATACCTAAAGTTTGAAGCATTATTGTTTCAAGTATAACCAGCTCTTGGGCTTGTTGAAGGTATGCCTGAAACAAACAAGCAGAGAGGTGAAGACACAAAATCAAACTTCACTCCCACAGTGCCCTGTGGTACAGCACTGGCACCACAGGAGCCAGCAGCAGCACCCAGGCACTGACAGCTCACAGCACCTCACCCTGGGGTTATTTCCTCCACCAGCACATTCACTGCCACAAACTCAGCTCCCCCTGCCTGCCTTGCACAAGATTAACATGGTCTGGGTCTCACACAATCTATTCCAGCAAAGCATCGTTGGGAGGTCAGGTGGGGGCTGTAAGAATTTCAAGATGGAGCAATCTCTTCAAGTTTCTTAACAAATAAGTGAGTCTTTAAGAAACTGCATTAAGTAATAGGAAGATTTAAATGGTATAAAAACCAAAGGCTTTTCTTCCTAGGCTGCAGAGAGCAATATTCCAGTAAGACAATATAACAAATCATTAGATGAAATGACATCTTTCAAACCATGCATCTTTGAAACCATAACTTCCACCTACATCACTCTTTGTATCCAGCTGTGGCTCTTGAGGATGAAGACAGGCATTTGCTACTTTAATAACATGTTCAAGTTTCCGTGGCTGTTCTTCCACTTTGGCAGCCAAAAACAATGCCGTGGGAGACATTATCTGGAGAAGAAAAACATGTGTATTTTTTAACTTTTTACAAGCAGGACTTGAATTTTTATAGAGTCTAAACTAGCACAGAAAAGGTTTAAGAGGTTGGATTTGTGGCTTTTTTTTCCCAGTTCTGAAGTCATGCAAGGCAAGAAAAATATAACTAGTCGTGTTTTATTTTGTAACTGATGCAATCCTCTCAGCAGCACAGGGAAGGAGTAGCATAATGTTAAATTACATTTGTGAGCAAAATGTCTGAGGTCAAACTAATTCTAGTTCAACATGAAATATTTTGGCCCAGAAGACTTAGTCACAGTAGAACAGGCTGTTTCAAGTTAAATATACCTCATGAGAAAGTTCAGCCAATTTCTTGCACAGAGCGAGTCACTACACCATCTTTTCAGTAAAACAGCTGATCACAAGTTCTGGTAGCATTTAATTCTCCCAAAGAGTGAGAAACTTTGCAGAGAACTTTAATAAAAACAGCTTGCTATTTAAACATAGGCTCTACAAGAACAAGAAACTTTATATGTACACATATATTCTTAGAAACTTTACTATATGCCCAGCAGTGTCTGGAGAACAAAGCATAAAGATTTGTAAAAAACCAGTTCTATCAATGTTAGTAAAGACCAGACATTCCATTTAAAGATGAAAATTTCTATCAAACTCTAGGTGTCATAGGGTGGCAGTTCAGTATCACCAGGAGTTAGCTGTGAAGTGGAATTTTGGAGCCTGTTGTCAGCTACAGTGACTGAGGTGTGCAGACACAACACAGCAAACCACAAAGCACTGATGAATTAGGTTCTCTTTGCATGCAAAAGCTGCCCATGTTAACCAGGAATTAAAATGGTACTAGAAATCATCTAGGCATAATCTGATTAAAATGATTAAAATGAAGCCAGTAGAAAGCATTTATTCAGAGACTGAAATAGCTCCTTGCTGAGTATTTAATTAATGCATGGTGCAAGTATTGGATTCCTCATTCAATGCCCAAACAGAACTAGACTAAATAGGAGGCATAGCCCCCCTAAAATCAGATTTGCTTTTTTTGCCAGTAAGCAGCCCCTTTTGATGCCAAAATGAAACATTTGGTATAAAAATCTACAATATATGCAAAACTGCAACAAACTAATTAAACATTTAAAGGATTAAATTTCAGAAGCTTTCAAATGTAGTGAGAATACTTTTTCGCATCCTTAAATCACTTTGAAATGTCTGCTTGGATCTTAAGTAAAACTTTAAAGTTGGCAGACTTGAAAATTGACTCCCTGGTAAGGCAATACCCTTTGATGAGTAGAAGTGTGCCATGAGAAATCCAGCAAAAATCTCGGTCTATAAAAACCAACCACCCAAAACAAGTCACAGGGAGCAAATTCTTTCACAAGGGAGACAAGGACCCCTGTTTTCTTTTCAAGAATCTTGTAACCTAAGCCTGATGAACAACTGAAATAAAACCCAAGGTGAAGTGTTGCTGAACAAGGCCATATTAGCACTGTCATTCAATACTTCTGAGGATTCTGCAGAAGTTCCTATTCCCACTGCTTGAAGTAATGATTTAAAATTCTGGAAGGGATTTCCTTTGCCAAGGACATACTACTTGAAATGTGTCACACTGGGAGGTAAAACTTTTAAACAGTAAATATGATGGAAACACTTTCTGGAGTTCAGAAAGTGAGAGTATCAACAGCTCTGAAGTGGCAGAAAATGCAGAAGATGTCAGGCAGCACACACAGGCATAACCCAACACAAATATGTCATATGAAGGTATTTTACAGAACTCAATTTTCAACAACTGCCATGGCTGAAAACATTTCCATTTCAGAGAGGCATTATTTGAACCAAGTCACCAATGACCAGATAATTAAACCATCAGCAAATTCTCACCCACTGTTACTCTGTGTCTGACTGCACCAAAGTTCTACTTTCCAAAAAAGCACCAGCAGGCTGACTTCAGGATCTCTTCTGAGCTGCTTCAGTAAATCAGAACTGGCCAAGAAGTCTCCACACAATTCCTGATTTCCAAGACTTTACACAAAACACAGCTCTGGAGGCTGACTGAGCCAAGCTGATTAATTCTCATATAACTCTGGTTCATCAGAAATCCATGTGCAGCCCAATTAACCATTTCCTTCAAAAAGAAGTGTTGGCTTCTGGCCAAAGAATTTCAGGTCTTTATCCTATCTAGGACAAGGGTTCTCACTCCCAGTTTAGAGTAGGCCATTATTTTTAGCTCCCTTGGTATTGATTCAGAAAAATAGACACCCTAGTAAAATTCCAGACTCGGCACAAATGCAGTCTTCAGTGAACACACCCTGCTAAGTGTGTAACTGGCAAAGTTACTCAAATGCCTTCATTCATTTCCAATTACCAAAAATGGCAAAAAACCCAAGCAAAGTAGAACAAAAAAAGCAAAATTAAAGAAACACACTTGACAAAGTAATAGTGTATTTCCTATATATAAATATCTTAATTTGATATCAATCAAAATAACTTAGAGTAATTATATACTATGCACCCCAAATAGTCTTTGGGAAATCTTCAGAACACGTGATACATGACATTAAATCCCACTTTATTACTAGCCAAGTCTCACAGAAATAGAAAAAATCCCCAAAACATAAGAGCCCTGTTTACACAACCCAAAAGCATTGCACAGTAAGTTTCACTGGGAACTCTGGTACAAGCCCTTTTCACTTCAGAAGCACAAGGCAGTGCAATGACAAAGGCACTCAGAAAAACCTCAGAACACATCAGCAGCAGGCATGCAGTTTCCTGAGATCTCCCTCTCCCTTCCCATGCCAATATTAGCATGTTTTTAGACTGATCCAGTTTAGCCTAAGACATGAAGTGCTTACAGTCTATGAGAGGGTTTTCAAGTTTGAACACAAAGAGCTGTGAGGAATTTATTTTATTATAACCAGGAGCTCACATTGCATAAAAGCAGCAAATATTTTAAACTGCACTATTAAAACCAGAACTGAAGTACCCAAAACAGCCTCACTAGAGCTTGAAGCGTGTTATGAAAGTTTTAAGAACTTTGCAAAACTGCAAAGTCAACTGTTTAATACTGTGATTTGGACAGGGCACAAGGAAGGGAACGCAGAGGACTGGAAACAAAACAGCCTCCACACAACTCACCTGCCTTGCACTTGAAGGAAAACAATTCCTCATGCAGCCCTCTGCAGGCTCTTCACTAAGCTCCACTGTATGGCACAAAAACCCCCTGACATCAGCAAGCCTATTTTCAGCTGGTTGGCTGGTATTCCACATGGCATTTTAAGGATTATATTTAAAAACTACAGCTCCCATTTGGATGCCTTACCTCTCTTGCCAGCATATGAAGGATTTTTTCCCCCCTTTCTGTTCTTCAAATCACAGTGGACTGAAGAGTAAGCATCCAAAAGAACTATTTGCTATATAACAATGTAACACAACAAGTACTATAGAAGAAGTTTATTTTTGAAGAAGAATTTTAATTTTGAAGATATTTTAAAGGTTAATAGTGAGGCTAGTACTGCCTATAAAAAGGCAGCAAGCTCCCTCCCCATCCCAATATTAGCACAGACTAACTTTATACTCAGCAACCCAAAGTTCCTATGCCCTGGTCAGCAATGCAGAAAGAATAATTTGTGCTGAGGAGATCCACAGTAGCTCCTGTCACTTGCACAGCCAGGGAAATTAGCAGTCAGGGCATCCAATTCTGCTTCCCAGAATTGGTAAAGCAAATTTCCATTCTCACTGGGGCACAGCAACCTTGCAAGGTCTTTGCCTGCCTTGACTGCAACATCCAAACCTCAATAATTTCCTCTTTGTACTAAATGCATGTACTCAGTAGGTAACCCAGAGCAGCTCACAAGTGACTTGCTAGCTCACAGTAACTTCACAAAAAAGGGGACACTTGGCCAATAAGCAGCACATATAATACATTCCCAATGAACCAAGACTGCATTAACTGGTACATGCCACCCCTGAGGCTCTACAGATTGAAGATACTGTTGGGAATTCTGTTCCCTGCTCACAGATGACTCAAACTCCTGAAAGCCTGTAAAATTGTTTAGCAGTAACTTATACTGAAGAAAAAGCCCATAAAACAACAACTATCCCTGTTAACAATTAAGTGCATGTCACACACATGACATACATGTATTTGTGTAACCTGGCAGTTACACATGATGATAAACGTGCAAGTGCTTATTACCAGACTAAAAACATTCATCCACCAATAAAACAAGAAACACAGGCCACATTTTTTCAGCTGAAGATCATAAGGCATTCTGACTAATGGCCATTTAATTTTCTAGCCCCAGCATTCAGATTCCTTTCTGCCATGGATAAACAGCATCACGTGCACACAACAAAGAAATATGAGGGATATACTGCATGTACTATAGGTCCTACCTTTGAGACTGCCAGTACCTAACTACTCCTGTCCAAGGGTAACTTTCTTCTTGCAGAGATGAATACTGTTACATTTTTTAGCTTGCCAAGTACTCTGGAGATTTGATATTAAGTATTTACTAGAGTTCTTGGCTTTTGCTTTCTCTACAGAGGACCCAATGGATGGTTTGGGTGTTTTTTTAAAAGTGACTCCATTCACTGAGACCCTCTTTGCCCTACAGAACTGTAAAAAGAAAATGCTCTTGCCCACCAGCACATACACAAAGCCACTGTCTGGCCTTAAATTCATTAAGAATTACAAACAGGAGCTCAGCAAGAGTCAGTGCTGCTGAGGTACAACCTGCAGCTCACTTGCCTTTAACTTGGAACATTATTACCTGAGAATTAATTAAACAGGACACTTCCCTCCCCTGTAACAGCTGCAGTTTCCATGGCAGTCTGCCCTTACATAGCTTACTTGTGAGTTTTAATATTCATAATTCAACTTAAACCATGATTTTCACATAAAGAGCACTACACACTCAAACACTACTGCACTGCCAGGTCCAAGTGACTGTCATTTACCAGCACCCAGAGAAAACCCAAACACAGCAGCCAAAGCTCCTTGCTGCCTAAATCCAGCCCAGATTACCTAAATCCAGCCCAGATTACCTAAATCCAGCCCAGATTACCAACTGACAGCACAAGCAGCCCTCCAGCAGGTGATATAACAGGTATGTGGGTCTATATATGAACACATCCACACTGAGCCATCTCTCCAGCCCAAGCAGCTCTAGTTTATCAAGCCCACAAACCATTCAACAGTCCCAGAAAACTCTGGATGCCTCCCCAGCTCCAGGTTACTGCTAGGTGGGCACAACAGCAGCAGGAGGGGAGAAAGAGGGACTTGTATGGATGAACACTGCAGTTCTGGTAACAAGCTGCTGGAAATTGGAGTTTAGCTCAGATTTTGCATGAAAAATAATTATATACACTTCTAAAATGTACCTACACATGAGTATGTGCTTCCAGCTAAAGAGGCACCGAACAAGATGCCTATTAGCTCAGCCAACAGTAATGAACAAATTCATGACAGGAAGAAGAGTTGGCTCTCCTTGTACCCCCCTGTGTACCTGCCCCAGCTGCAGACAGTGCAAGGTTTGCAGGATTCCACCCCTTGGCAGGTAAAGGTCTGCTCTGACCTACACCTAACATCTGTCTCAATCTGTTTTGTCATTAGATCTAAGAAAACTCATCCTCAACATTTAAACCACCACTACTATTAACTGTTCTTCCTAAAACCAAACAAACCCCAAGAACACCTAGACTATTATAATATTACTGTTTTTCCACCTATTGCATCCAGCATTGGACACAAAAAAAAAAAAGCCTGACACTCTACTCTCAAGCTGTCATCTCCAGTTCCATACCTGTTACAATGTTCCCCAATAACAGCTAGTATTTTTACTGAAAAATTCTGTTCTTAACAACACAGAGTCAACATGTCCAGGTTATCAGACAAAACAAGATTTACCTCAACACATGTAAAATATTTTCTTATCTAATATGACTTACCACTTAAGATCAGACTAGCTAAAACAATTTACACTGCTTCAGGAGCAGCTACATAATCCATATGGATATACACACATAACCACATTATCATTGTCACACACACCATGCCAGAATTTCCACTAACTTCACCGAGAAAAATGTGTGTTCCTACACATTAGCCTTTCAAGCTTCAGCACATAAACACCAGCCACATTTGAAACATCTAAATGTATTCTTCACACATCTGAAATGTGCTTGCTGATGCTGCCTATTTATTTTTCATTTAGATGTTAGAAGATAAAATCTAATTACCACTAGTTAAAGTAATCCAAAGTTGAAAACAAGTATCATTATTGCTTCTAAACCATTGATAAGAAGCTGGAATTCTTAAAAACAAATCACACTTCACACTCCTGCATGAAACACTTCTCAGTCAGAACTGCCAAAATTATGGGCATGCTATAACCAAACATAAATCATACTTACATTTCGATTAAATTTTGTGAAGGAATGATGCATATAAAACCTGTGCATGTAAACAATTGCAGTATTTATGGTAAGCTGAGATCTGGAAGATTAAATGAAGGAAACACTACATATTAAGAAAATTGTCGACAAGAACTGAAAGTGATGCGCTTTCCACATCAATCACTGCTCACAACATATTGTCTTCAGCCGAAAATGGATTAGGGACGTGCCACTTCAGAACTTAACTGATATTAACACATCCTTAACTGATATTAACACGTATCGCTCCCATCTGTTCCGCAGACCATGTGGAGATTCCTACGCCAGGCTCCCCACAGTCACCCACGGAACGAGAACTCCTCAATGGGCGCCACACACTGAAACACTCGAGTGCTTTTGTTTTGTTCCAGTTCAACTATTTCAGTCAGCGATTTGAGGGTTTGGCCTTGCTCTGATCGGTTTTTTCTTTCTTTTAAAAAAATCACATTAAAGACCGGCTAAGGAGGAGCTGCCCGTTTCGGGTAAAAGAGCAGCTCGGGTTTAGCTGAGGGCAGCCCCGAGGAGCAGCTCGGGCCGTGAGGGCAGGTGGGAGCCGCGTCCCCGAGCGCCGACAAAGAGCGCGGCGCGGGGGCTTCGCCAGGCTCCTCCTCCCATTCTGTGCCTCAGGCCACGGCTCCAGCCGCGGGAGCGCCGGCCGGGGCTGCGGAGCACCCGCAAGGCTCCCGGCCACGGCTCCCACACCAGGGAAAAGCTCTCCCGCCGCCCCTCCACGCGCGGCCCCCGCCGCCCTCACGCCCGTGCCCGCTCGGATACACGTTGAGGCGCTGGCCCATGTCTTGGATGAGGTTGGCCGCCTGCTGCCGGTACGAGAGCTCCTTGTCGGCCTCCACGCCGCAGCGCCGCGAGGGCGTGTTCTCCAGCTGCTCGCGGCTGAAGAACCAGCGCGACGCGGCCGAGGAGCCGCCGCCGCCCCGCGCTGCGGACCCCGCGGAGCCCGCGCCCGCCGCCGCCATGACACCTCCTCCTCCTCCGGCGCCTCCTCCCGCCGCCTCCATCGCGGCTCTCGCGAGAGCTCCCGGGCCCGCGCGCGCCCTCCGCCATAGAGTCTCGCGGCGGGGCGGCCGCGCGCCGGGCGGGGTCACGTGGGCTGCAGGGGCTCAGGGAGCGGCCATGGCGGCCGCGGCGGGAAGGCCGTGAGGGGACGGAGCCCTCGGGTCATGGAGGGACCTCTGAGGGCATCCGGTCCGCCCGTCAGCCCCGCACCGCCGCTGTAACCCCGCTAAACCAGGGAACCCATCGCCCTGTGCCCGGGTGTAACACCTTGAACACCTCCCGAGATGCTGACTCCACCATCTCCCTGTAGTGCCTATCCCATTGCCTGGCCGCTCCATAACTGCGTATCTGTTTCATACGATGGTTCAAATATCTAATCTTAGTCTAGATACCTTTATGCTTAATAAAGTGAAAAACAGATAAAAATGCTTGAAGCAAGGGTTCCTTTTTTAATGCAAGCTAATCACAGAGCAGCGTACTTGGAGGAGGTCATGGAAAGGGAGGAAGGAGGAAAAGATTTGGAATGCACAACTAGTTTCTAGAAAACTCCTGTCTGCTGGCAATATCAGCTTCTAGACACTTGAGAAATGCACAAGAAAATGATGAATTATTATTAGGAATTGTGTCATTGGAGGTGAGCAGCTCCAGCATGTCGGTAATGCCCCTGCAGTGTGCAGGTTTGTTCTCACTCCATGTTTAGGGATGGGATTTCAGCCCTGGTTTGAGTTTATGGATTCAGGCTTCAAAGGGTGCAAAAAGGTATTTAAAGTTCTGATCGCCGTGCATGAAAATGAGAGTTCTGACCGTGTTCAGTGCATGCTACTGCCAGTCTGCAGTGGTTTTGTTCACCTGAAGTTACATCACAATGAGTTCTTTCGCAACTTCAGTGCCAATTTTATACAAGAAGTTGTAATCTTAGAACTGGACCCGACAGAATACTGACAAATTATACATTATTGTATATATATACACTATATATATGAGAAATTATTTGCCTGATCTTCCCAGATGTATATATCTTCTTTAAGATCCTGCATGTGCAGAGGAAATTTAACCTCAAAGACTTCTCATGTAATTAGCTGATCTTGGACTTCACATTTGTGTGTCTGTAACAATCAAGGTACAATATTTTACCTCATTGTTTAAATCACTGTGTAAAGCTCATGGAATTTGGGTATTCAACTTAGATTCTTTATTCCTGCTGTAATTGGTGGAGGATTATTAAGAATGTTCTCATCTGGCTGCAATTAGAATTTTACATTTGCTTCGTTAATGAAATGAAAAGATGAAGGGAAGATTTTATATATATATATATCTCCCTGTCTTAAAAATCTTAACATACCAAGAATAGGTAGAATATCATTAAATAATGAGAGGCATAATGAACATGATTTATGCAGGGTATGCACATTAATTAACTCCCATGCAGGATACTGCAATCACCCATTTAGTCACAGGTTAAAGTAATTAAATGCAGTTCTTGCTATTGGAGAGGTTCCAGACCTTGGTCCCCAAAGATGTGACATTGCATTTTCATTAACTTAACTGGTTTCATTCATAAAAAAATTGAAGAATTAATCCAATTAAAATGTATTGGAGGAATCACAATGTATTTTCCTCTTAAATCCATTTAAACATCTGTGAGAATCATGTATACTGAAGGGAAATATGAGAATGAAATTGCCTTTTGACTCTGAAATTTAATTAAAACAATCTGGTTGAAAAATCATACATGCTGAAAACTCAATGCCTGCTTGTGGATATTTAAATAAAAAAGGTCAACAGAAGTCTTGCAAACCTGAGGACAATAAATGTTGTTAAAGCTATTTTCTGGCTCTTCCTTTCCTCTTACATAATGAACTGATATTCTAAATCTCTGAGCTGCTGACTAATTAAGCTCCAACTACTTCACAAATCACTTTTCTTTTTTTGGGAGTGGGTTGGGCACTGTAAAGAAGGACAGAGCTTTCTTTGTTGTCCAGCGGAGCCTGGGATCAGCAGAACTGCTGATGTTCAGCATCCTTCAGGTTCAGCTGTGACAGCTATGGCCAGAGCTAAACACAACTTCTGTCTAATACTGTTTTGCCTGGAATGTTCCAAGGCTGAGCAGAGGAATGGGAACACCACACACAGCCACCCAATGTTCCCACAAGAACAAAGACTGGAAGTGCTAATCCACGTTTTTCTGACTGGTGCACAATTCTCCTGGGAGGAGGATGCCTGTGCACTCACTGGATAATAATGAAAACCTGTTTCAATCAATAGTGTATAAAGCAAACCTTTCTATTCTTATGGCAGGACTCACGTTGGCACTTCAACATTTAAACTATTCAGCCTTACTTTTGGGAAGCATTTGGTAAGGAATAGAACATTAACCCATACTGTTGCCAAACACTAGTGTTTATTGTGACAGTGACAGTGACACACCAAGTAATACCCACACAAATACATTATTTCTGCACCTACACCCATATTGTTCAAATTGTTTCTGATGAATAAGTTCCCAGTGCTGTAGGTGGCAGCTGATACATAAAGTCCCCACACAGACCTTTTCCATCCTGTCACAACATTGACAAAGCACAAGTGCACCTGCAGTGCTGAGCTGAGTGTGGTGGGCTGCATTTTCCACCAGTGGATAAAAGAAAATGTTGCCTTTTATTGGGCATCAACATTGTTTAAATTCTGTTTTAATATTCTTTCAGATTCTGTTTGGCTGCCATAACAAAGACATAATTTTCTCATCTCTTTCCTTCCTGGGAATCAAGTCCTAATTACATGCCATTGATTATAATTCAGAAATTCTTATAGCTGCAAAAGATGAAATCTCTCCTTTATTATGAAAGCAGGGATTTCAGAATTGTTTAAAAACAGCCTAAATCCTCAGGCAATACCTGTGCATACTCCTTTCCAGTACCCTTGCTTTTGCTTTGGAAATAACAGGAGACTGTCAGATAATTGTCAGTTTTATTTTTCATCTGCACAACTGCACATGCCAACAGAAATACAAGGACATTTTTTCTGAAGTTTAGCTGCTTTAGTACTTCATAATTATTCAAATTGTTTTCTGCTAAGACCCAAAAATTCCAGAGCATTTCCAGCCTTGAGTTTATCCTGTAAAAACAAAAAACATACATATGTTTGTTCTTAGCTCATATTTAACTCAAATGCTTTTACTTGTGCTTTAAAAGGAACTGCTGCAAAGAGACTGAAGGGTCTCCTTCAGTCTTTGAAGAAATCAGTGTACTACACTGATTTTTCAATGTTTTATCTCATGTCTCATACAGAGACTTAAAAAGGAGGGAAAATGCCTCATGTAAAAATCATACCTTCAGTTTATAGTCAAAATCATCCATTGAATCAATCAATTTTCCAGGTTCCAGTTCCCCAAGTGGAAAAGGGTAATCTGTCCCCAAAATAACCTTGTCCTGGTAATAAAAAAGAATGTTACATTTTGTAGGAACATTAAACAATGGAGTTTAAATAATATGGATATTAATATGTACAACAGTATAGTAACATTAATATTATATTTTAAACTAATAAATTTTAATTTTTCCAGATTTTAAATTTCTTTTTAATTAACATTAAACAATAGAACACATGCTTTCTGGAATGTATAACGAAGTACAAGAAATTAGATTAATTATGAAAGTGAATATAAAGATCATAACTTCCACTTAGAAAAAAACAAAGCTTGGAAACAATGACTCAAGAATTTTTTGGATGAGTTTTATTTGGAAAAAATTGCAGGATATTTATTAATAATTCTTGTGGTGTCTAACTGAAGTTATGGTATTTTAATTCTCATAAGCAGAAAGTTAAAAATGAAAATCCCAGGCTTGAGGCACGAGTGTCTATTGCTTGGGTGAATAAAAGACAATTAGAACTTGTTATAATGTTTGACTCTTTTACCAGAGTTCAATACTGAAATAGGGTGAAGAAAACATCATTCAGTTATTTTCTGGAATGGTTTGTTTTGTTTTTGTCAATTGCTTAAAAAATTTTTTTTAAATCTCCACTAGATGTCACCCAAAAGTCTCAGATAGAGCCTACACAAAACTTTGCCCAAATCTCAACAGAAGAGACACATTCTATTGTTCTTTCCTATGTTCTGTCCTGGGTTCTAATTTATTATAGAAGAATTAACATAAGACTAACATAGGAAAATTTATACCCTCTGTCTAATAAATCCAGTTCTGAGCATAGACTAAGCAAAATAGATTTGTATGTGTGTACTTCGAGGCACCTAAATATATATTTATTTATAATATTCAATACTAAGATGCTTTATTCACAAAAGAAAAACAAATGCCATGTATTTTATGATTAAAAAAGCAACTAAAAACCATACCAAGTTTATGACAGAAAGTGGGTTTTTAAGTAAAAGAGAAAGAAACATAGAATTTGTCCATCTGTTTACTAGGGAAGGTCATGTAAGACAGGAAGGTTTGTATATTCTTATTTACATCTCCTACATACTAAACCAGAAATAAATCCCACATCCTCACTGCAATAACATATGTTTTTCTTTTCCTCCCTGTGCAGATATATTTTTTCCCTCTGTTTGAAAGTATTTCACAGCTAATTGTGGGATCTATTCATTAGTAGTAAAATTAAGAGCTGTAAATCAGTAAGAAAAATTTAGAAGCAGCATTCTTGCTGTGCTCCCAGTGATCTTGGGTTGTTCATTTGGGCTGTTTCAGCTTCAATTTTGTACTTCATTTGTATAAAATGGGGGTTGCTGTCTTTATACCTGTCTTTAGCAACAAGCTTCAGAGGAGTACAGATGAATAATGCTCCCAGCATAAGGGAAGTACTGTTATATTATCCCAAACCATATCAACAAAGTCAATTTTCCCTAGAAGACTTGGAGGTTGTTTCCTTAATTAGCACATCTCTCCTATTAGAGAGGTGCATGGGGCTAATGATTAACCTCACTGGACCCTGCTGCTCAGCACAACTTTTCTCACAGTAATAAGGACCTTAATCTGAAAATGAATCTCAGAAAGCTTTAAGCATGACTTCATCCTCTTACATAAGGAAAAATTGTATTTGCCTTGAATTTTGCCTTCTTTCCTATGGCCATGATGCACCTGAAAAAAAGTCCAGAACGTTGTAGTCAGTTCAGCTCCAACTTCTGGCCAGAAAATGCTTTGCCTTTGGATGATGGCTCTGGAGAAATCACCATGGGGAAGTTTTTGCAGGGATGCACTGAATCATTTAATCCCATGTCAACCCAGTTCTTCACTTTTTATAGCAGGCATCGTTGGGGATTTTGTGTTTATTTGGATTCACCTCACACTACCTCGCCACGGGGGGAGCAAAGGACTGCAGCGATTCTGCACTCTTACAAAATTCTTTCTCAGGAGTGTGTGCTTCTGCTTCCATCCCCAATTAACCTGCACCCCAAACTAAGAAGGGATGACACAAAATGGACACGACTGATCCCAGCTGTCAGTGGATTTTAACTGTGATCAGCTCAAGGCCAGCAGGCCAGGCGCTGGTGCCAGGCAGTGGCTGCTCCCCAGGGACACAAAGCCATGTCCAAGCACATCTTCCCTCACACTGAGCCCTTCCTGCACAGCTCTGAGCTGTTCTCTGGAGACCTGGCCTATTTCAAACCCGCAGCTCACAAAGTTACAGTGTCAGCCTCAAGACTCCATCACATTGTTTTTAGCCCAGCATTTATTAATCTTATATGTGTTACTCTGCCAACACATGTCTGCGCTGAAAGCGCTGAGATATTTGGTGTTTCTTTAAGCATTTGACTCATGGAAGAGTGTTATGTGAGAATGTCAACTTTCCTTAGAAAAAGAGGGAGCTTTTTAATCTTCGTGGTTATAAAGTAAAGTTTGAAATCGTGATGTGAATGTTTTTGTTTTCAAGGACAAGATGCCTTAGGCAATTGAAAAGAGAAAGTTCTCCTGAGTGTAAAAAACATGTTTTTGGTATCTGACTCATGACTTTTCAGCCCTGGGATTGCACCTGATGTCACATTGTTTGAACTGAAAGTACTCAGAGGAGAATTAAAGAAGACACCAACATCCTGTGTACTATGCTGGCCAAATTTATTGTGTTAAGATTCTGAATTTTAATAGTCTGTTGAAAAAATAAATTTGACACCACAGAGGGTAATGCTAAGTGCCTTTTAGATTATCAATTTACAATCCATAATCCCTCTCTCCTCAAAATTCCAGTTGCAAAGGCTAATGACAATTAAGGACCAGAGTCCATGTGTATCTTCTTAGAATGGAAAGTAGAGAAATTAAAGTGTGGTGCAAAGACAGCAGCTTTCCCATGGCAGCAATAGTTTAGAAGAGCTTTGAGATGCAAAACTTCTGACTTTGAAGCAGAAGTGCCCCAAGACTTGTGTGCTACACAAGTTCAGACAGAAAAAACTTCAATTCTTCAGCAATGGATTCAGCATCCTGTTGTGCTTTCCCTCCTGCTTTGCTCTTGACATCTACAGTTCAGCTTAACAGATTCAGATCACAAAAAGAATCTGTGGTCTCAGCCAGCCTGAGTCACACAGCTCCTAATTTACCAAGGTCTTTCTGACAATGGCAAAACATGTCTCCCAACGTTTTAAAATGGGTAAAAGAAAACGAGTGAGTGATCTTTTCTCCTTGCACTGGCAATTTAAAATTCAAGAGCTAGACTCATCCTTGTGTACTAGAACTGCATGTACAAAGAAATTTTAGTTAGAATGAACGTGGTCTGGATTTGGGGAGATTTCTCAGAAAAGAGGTAACAGAGGCAAGTGTTGAGCTGTTACTCCATAAGCCTTTGGGTGTCTTGTAGAATGGACAAGCACATCACACACAGTAAAATTTTAAAATCTATTGTTAAAAAACACCTTAAAGCCCCTTGCTTTAAGCTGCAGTTAATTCAAAAGATAATGCATATCAAAAACTACTGGGCTGTGGACTATGATTTGTTTGCTATTTAGAGGTTGGCAACAGAAATTAAAAGAAATCAGTATTGGGTGGGAGCCCTAGTATTTTATTTGTAAACCATCTGGTGCCTAAAATTAATCCCTGGCACAGGGATGGCAAATGACACCTGAGTTAATACCCACTGATGTTATCAGAACTTTCCACTACTAACAGCTAATTCCAGATCTTTTTTGAGTAAATTGACCTGGGTTTTATCTTACTTGTTTCTTAATGGAAATAGGCTCCATGACAGGCTTTTTGCACATTTTATGGGGCTCCTTCCATAAATCTATTTTTGGTTCAGGGTGGTTTAACCAAAAATGTTGTCTCCACTCCTTAGAGCTGCAGTGTTATTGTACAAACATACATGTCACAAAAGTTTCCATACTATTGTTTCAAGATGTAGTTGTGCTGCCACATGGTTGATTTTCCATAAATCTTCAAATGCAAAGTTTTCCTAAAAGGCACAAGTCCTGCAGGGGAGCTGCAGGCAGAACTCCAGAGCCAAAGCTACAGACTTCAGGTGCAGCATGAACTGAAAACTCACAGATTTTAAAGTGTAATACCTGAGCTCAGAGTACCACAGTAAAGAAAGCAATAGAAGAAGGATTTCTATTCCCAGGATTTCTTCCCCCAGGAAGCTGGGAAGCTTCAGCTTCTCCATGTTTTGCAGCTCTGGAATGTGGTCTGGAGATTGTTTATCCAAACATGTGAATCGTTTTTAATTAATCCAATCACCATCAGCTCTGTCAGACTCTGAGAAGTCAGTCACGATCTTTCATAATCATTCTTGTTAAGCTTTCTGATACATCCTTTCTCTTTCTTTAGTATAGTTCTAGTATGATATTCTTTCATATAATATAATATAATATAATGTAATATCATAAAACAATAAATCAGCCTTCTGAGAACTTGGAGTCAGATTCTTATCTCTTACCTTATCCTGGGGACCTCACAAACACCAGTTTGCTAAACTACAAAGATTTCTTTACAAACAACTAAAATACTTCTGCAAACCTATAATTTTAATTGTCTCTCTGAGATACTCACAAAAGCTTTCCTTATTACTGATGTTTTTTGTGTCTATAACTTCCCAAGTGGAGATACAACTTGATTTCTTCAAGCATGCACTTGAATTTGAAAATTAAGCCATTTGAAAACCAGACTCCAAACTGAAGTAGTCTTTGCTTGAAGTTCCATCCTGAACAAGCTCAGAGAAGGATGGAACTAAGGTTGACAGTGCATGATTTCCTGGATTAAATCCACCATTTCAATAAATCCATATGGTAAAAGCATTATCAACATGGCAGAAGCCCATCAGTTTATTTCACTGGGTGACACTGTCTTCTTCTTTCTTCTTCTTCTCTTCTCCTCTTGATATTTCCTGGAAAATAAACTGAAGAATGACTCACCCACTTCTGGAAGCACTAAAACTCACCTCTCCTACTACACTTGTTAGCAGCCTTAGAGCCCCATGGTCGTGGACAAGAGAGTCTGTGTAAAATGAGCCGAGGTATTTTCTGGGATCCACCTTGTTATCCATGGCACACAAATCGGGGCGCACGTTGAAGCCATGCGAGATTCGACCCACTGTGTATGGAAAAGCTCCACCTGCAAGAAGGAGTTGTTAATAACTTTTAATAAGCTGAGAATATGTAAGAGGGAAAAAAGCCACCTTATCACCAAAGGTCCATAATTTTCCTGCCAGCTCTTTAGGAAGAAAGTGCTTTGCACCAGTGGCTTTTTATTCCTTTACCTTCATTAGCTTCTGTCTCTGTTTTTCTCACTTCTTCACTACTGTGATGCCCAAATTCCTCCTGCTGCTTCCTTATCCTTTTCCTTAAACCACCTGCTGCCTTCCCTTCCTTTTTGTTTTCCCTTAACTGTGGTACCAGCTTGAGCCCTGCAGGCTAGAGAGTTTCATAAAAGCAGCTGATCTGTCAGGCTGTCTTCTTTGGGGTGACAGTGCTCAGCTGGTGGCAGGCTTCACGTGGTGGCCCCATTAGCTGAGAGACCAGAAAATACAACTGTACCATGCTCAGCCAAGGAGCAGGAGTTTCACATGGTGCACTACTCACCTCCGTGTGCAAAGCAAACTTTCAGCTTAGGGAATTTTTCAAAAATTCCTCCCATAATCATGGAGCATATGGCCATGGTTGTTTCCGTTGGCATGCCTAAGAAGAAAAACATCTTAATTGTATAAGAGCTTTATTGATTATTTGAATCCTATTTGATTTTTAAATGTTGTTTTAATTTTCTTCCATTAGCCTTGAGCCGACTAAAAAAGTAATAATTGCCAGACAGCTACCAAAGGTAATGCATTATTTCCACTGGAGGGACACAGAGTTGAACTCTAATTAACTGAAAGGAAGACACAGGCCTGGAAGTGAAGGTGTTCTGCATTCTAAGTCCAGTTTTTACTCCACACCACTCGGACAGATGATAGACAGGTTGGGTATGCCCTGAGATACCCTGTGCAGGCCTGATTCCCATTATCCTTGCTCAAAGACAAGTCTGGAATATGCCAGGGTGTCTTATCACCTCTCCTTGTGGGTTTATTTTCTGTGGAAAGTGGAGCAGATATGTTAAATGGATATTCCAACACAGATTTGGGGTTTGGTTACCACGTGATGCCAGATCCTGCAGTTTAGAACTAATCTGTCCCTCTGCTCCTGGCTGGGTTGGAAGCCTAGTTAGGAAGAGAACAGGAATTCAGGTTCCTACAGCAGTTCTCAGCTTCTGATCACACCCAACATATTTAGAATATCATGCCATTTTAAACACCCAGCTTCAGACATGCAGCTTGAAATCAGGAACTGAGTTCCCCATATTTAGGGGGGAAACAACACCTATGCATCTGGAAAGGTTATTTTTATTAATGTTTTACCATACGCTCAGATGCAAAGCATTATTATGCTTAGTAAGAAAATATTCTATATTCACTTTGTTGAGTAAGTGCAATAATTTCATTTTCTTCTTAAATCTGCGTTGTTGAGCCTGATCTGATTAAGACTGATAATTTTTCAAGATGACGCATTGCTGATTGGGACAGCAAGATTTTCCAAGCAGAATGTGTATTATGTTTATGTTGTGTATGTTTTTCAGAACTGGTAGCAGTGCAAAACCATGCAAAAAAACCCAACACAAAACAAAATGCATGAAGGTAGAATCAGGTCTAAACATTTCTGGGTAGCAGAATAACCCTGCTCCTGTTATTCAGTGTTATGATTTACCTATCAAACAGGGAAAAAATGGAAACTAGATAATATCCAGCATCTACTGAGAGCTTTCAAAGTACATGTTGTTTCAGCTACAGCTGATGTAAAGTTATCAACCTATTTCTAAGAAATAACCCAAGAAATTATAGAAAAACTGTTTGGTTTTGCTTACTCCTTGTTATTTTTTTGAGGAGCTAATTTCTGAGATGATTCACTTCTTCCTTGTTCTCTGCTCTTTGTATTTAGGGCAAAAGAGAATACTATATTCTGTTGCTAGTCTGAATAATTTGAATTCTAAGTATTTAAAAGAAAAGCTCAACAAGCTTAGAAACAAATGACTACAGAGTTTACACAACAGACCTAATCATAATAGTAGATTAAAAAAAAAGAAAGTTTGACAGAAAAATGATGTATTTTTCTCTGTACTTGTACTGTACTTGGCAGCAATCTCCTGGACATAATCCAGTTCATAAATGTAGGTTAAGCAAAGTAAATATACATTTACCTATTAGCCAGGGAAACCAATATTTGGACATCCTCCCATCTATCTGCATGTCCCAGGGATGCACAAAGAGGCAGCAATTTAATTTCTCAGCAGCCTGCAGCAAAAAGAAAAAGTCTGAATCTTTATTAATCATAGCAAAGTGCATCTTAGATCTTATTCATGCTTTTCAATGACCTGCAGTAGTACTGAGCAGTAGTACTAGTAATGCAAATAGACCCACAAGTAAGGACTATAAGCTATAGTTGGGTGTATTTACTCCTCTGGGCCATATTCTGAAGGCCTCACTCAGTTTCACTCTCTTCCTGTGAGTACAGGACTGGAAGCATAGATGATAACATCTCTTTAGTGAACCAAGCATTTCTCAGAATAATACAGTACAAAAATGCTTTTCCAGCTGTGTTTTTTCAGCCATCCTGTGGTATAAAATCAATTCAAGTAAACATTCTTTTGGTTTCATTACACATATGAGAATGAATTCCCATATTGTCTTATAGAGTCAATTGAGGATGGTTTTGCAGAATTGTTCCAGCTGCATTCAGAAATTTTCATTCAGTTGCACTACATTTGTCCCATTTTGTCCTCTACCTAGCTTACAAAAATGTTAAATTATTCCTAATTCTTCCTAAGAGTTCAAAATCTGGCTGTATTCTGATCAACAATCCATCTCTACCCAAGTACAGTAATTTTTCCAAAATTATTGACATCTTTGGAAAGGCAAACAGAAGACTAGTGTTGGATGCTGACTCTGACTGTAATTTAACTGTGTGCTTAAATTTAAATATACAGTCATCAGAGTCATTCATATGCTTAACCAGGATTTAACAGCTTCGTTTTGTCAGATGTATTTCTGGACATGCTCTTGTTGCTAAGGAGATTGTCACACATTTGAAAAATTTGGGTTTATTTACCCATACATGCATAAATAAAAGCTGCAACTTTTGGATTGTGGAGCACAATTGCCATCTACATTTGTAAACTAAAAATAGCAATTCAATAACTGGCCTGGTAGTTTGACAAAGTTCATAATCCAATATGGCTTAATTTCATAATCTGTATTATCCAGAGATGTTTCTAAAAATGAAAGGGGTAACTTCCTACATGCGTGAAACATAAGCTGAAGGATGTACAGTGAGAGAGAGATCCCAGAAGAAGAGAGGGATCTCAGTAGCAGAGACATGGAGTTACTGGAGAGAGCTCCAAGTTATGGAGGGACTGAGCATCTCTCCTGTGAGGAAATGCTGAGAGAACTGGGGCTTTTTGTCCCCTAGAAGAAAAGCTTCAGTGGAGATCAGGAAATTTCAGGTTGCCCAGAGGGATTGTGGAGTTTCCATCCTTGGAGATATTTACAATCCACCTGGGTATGGTCCTGGGATCTGGGTGTAGGTGGCCCTGCTTGAGCAGGGGTTTGGTCCAGGTGGCCCCAGAGGCCTCTCCCAACCTCAGCCATGCTGTGATCCCATAAATGTGGGCATCTCCAAGGGCAGATGTTGGTATCTGACTGTGTATGGCCATAAAAACAAGCAGTCCAGGTGATGCACCAACAGAGTTTCTGAATAAATTGAACATACTACAAAATAACCTCTGTGAATCAATTCCAGGCTGACAGCTCTAACAACTTGAGAAACAGATTCTGAATGGACATTGATTAAACCCCTAATTTAGACAAATGACCACCTCATCTGGATCTCAGGCTATTCAAGAAGTGCTATCTGTTAATTCATTTGATGATCAATACATTCAGTTTGGGAATTTTGGTCCTGTTTACATAGTTCTGTGTGGTACTTTGGTGCTATCTCTGATAATCTCAGGGGGGTTTCTCAGTTATTTCAATAGGATTGGATACAGAAACATGAACTCAAATGCAGACAGTGCTTTATTTGATATTGCACTTATCCTCACAAATCAAGAAGGCAGATCTATGGTGAGAACTCATATAATAAAACAAAATTTGTTATTCATTATTGTAAAATATATTTCAGAATATGTTGTATCGTTGCCATTATATCCTATAAAGAATTATCATTTACAACTAAAGCTGGGTGTCTCTGATCACTAAGCAGATTAGAAGGCTCAAATGATGACTCAGTGTGCTCCCAGACATTTTTAGACAGATTTCCATATCACAGAATTCCCCCAAAGAAGGAAAGCAACAGCTACTCACAGCATAAACATCGTGGAGCTCTGGGGCATTCAGGTCCCACTCATTGACATGAGATCCAATCTGCACTCCAGGAAAGCCCAGTTCATTCACACAGCGCTGCATTTCCCTCACAGCCAGCTCTGGAGCTTGCAGGGGTAACGTGCCCAGCCCAACAAACCTCTTGGGGTGCTTCTTTACTGTGGCAGCTAAGTCATTGTTTAACAGCTGGGCAAGGTCTAAAGCATCCTGAGGTTTGGCCTGGTAAGATGTGAAGCAGAGCAGTGCATTTCAATGTAGTTCTCAAATGTTATCACCTTTGGAAGTTATTGGATAAATGTCATTGCAAGCAACTGGTAGGGTTTGAACCCAAATGTGCTTTACAGTTCTGAATAGCTGGAAAATAGAGCTAAATTCTGCCTTGCTTTAAAACCTCTGGGTACAGTTCTGCTTTTTCTCTTGAATATTTTATCAACTGCTGTTGCCTTTACTGCTCAGGATGAGTGCAATAAAGCCCAGGTTGCTGATGCACATTAGTATCTGGTCTTTTGTGTAAAGCAGTCCCCTGGTTTTGTTTATCCCCATGCAAAAACCTCAGTGTATAATTTTTATACATAGCAATGAATATTTACTCTCCTATTACTGGAGCTGAAGAAATCAAAATAAGAAATGTGAGATGTTGGAGCATGTGAATTCTACAGAGAAAGCTTGAGCAAACTTCTCTAACATTTAGAAGGAGATAACATCCATAATTCTAACAAGGAAGTGCAATATCCATGCAATCAATCTCTAGGTTTTTTTCTCCCGAATACATATTTAATGGAAAATATTCCCTTAGATACCAGAATAAAGTTTTGAAGAGGAGTTACTAACTAGAAATGATGAAAATCAATGGTATTTCTTATATGTGGGCTTAGCACAATAGTTCTAAATGCACAAATCCATTTACATATAAGCATCTTAACCTGTGCACATTCCTAAATACTCACATCCAGAATGTATTTAGAACAGCATTTTGCTGTAATTTATCTCCTCATCCTGTCTTTATTTCTTCGAAGCATTCAAGATCACTACGTGAGGAACATAGGAACTTTGCTCCTGAATTTTAAGATTCAAAGCATTCTATGTTAATGAGTCCCATGCCACATTTAAAAGAAAGTGGGACAAGGCCACAAATGCATCCTTTGTGTCTTTTTATTTCTCCTTGAGAAAGTACTGATTGATGCCTAACTTTCTGGAATGTGTACATACGTGTCTGTCTGCTAACCATGGATTCATGTTGGATATATTTTTTCTCTCCATTTCCAGCTGCCCCCATAAGGAATTCAGTTGTTTTATATTTTCTCACTGGGTGTGCTCTGGTGTGGAGCTCTGCCAGGACATCCTGCAGACACCTTCTCATACCTGCATTCCTTTTTTGCCTTTTCTTTTTCACAGCAGAACAATTCTAGTGACTACTTCAATTTGTAGGAAGATGCTTTTGAATTTTAAAAATGTTGCTACATATGAATTATGAAATATCTCAGTTGGAGCTTACCCAGTAGCTGAACATTACAGGGACTGTGGACAGGACTTGGACGGTGACTCCTGAGTAAGAAAAAGAAAATATTAATGCTTCCTTTTTTGTTGTCTATTTTTGATAAAATGTTATAAATAAGAAAGTACTTTGGTTTGAGAGGCAGAATGTAATGGCTTTAATGATAAGAAAGACTGATTTAACAGTGACATAGATAAATTATTATTTTTTTTTAATTAAGGATCACGGCAATAAAACTCATAGTGTATCAATTTATTAGGATTTGGATATTTTTGCTAAGTAGAAAGAATAAACACTACTATATTCATACTAGCTAATTTGGGAAATTAGGGTTTTTGATTTTAGAAGGATTTAGTACGCACCTGTACAAACAATTAAAATAGCAATTTAGTATTACTCTCATGTGAATGAAACTGACATTAAACCAACAGAATACAGTAACTCAAGTTTACTTTGGCGTGAATTTTTCATATATATTAAATAAATAAATGTATTAGCTCAAAGATAAATAACATTATGCCAACAATTGTTGTTAAACAATGCTTTCCTAAGTGTTCCCAAAGCTATATTGTGTTAGGTTTCATTCATCTTGTGTCTGGACTGCTGAGGTTGTAAATATAAAAAATCTGCCTGTTTTCAGAAACAACTTTGATGTTAAAAATAAAAAGAATTAAGTCCATGTTGTTTTGTTTCTGCTCAAACACAAATCTCTATTATAATATTTTCTATGACAGGTTACAGAGTGAAAATAACAAACCTGGAAGACAAACAAAGTAAACAATAAAGAGTAATTAGGAATTCACAAAATAGTTACATGCAAAACTGTTTTGTTTTGGTGTTTTTATAGGTTTGTTTACAGTATTTTTGCACATATCCTGTCATGCTTTAGAAAATTTAACTTGGTTGTTAGTAGCAAAACTACTAGAACAAAAGATGGCAGAAAAAACCTCCAGCAGAATGAACTTTATGAGGACTCTAAATGACTTGCCAAAATATTTGAATGATTAAAATGATTTCTCCTCCTCCTCAGAAGTTTAAGTAGGAAACAAGAGGAGAAGCTGACTCAGATTGCTGCAAGATCTGATTAATATTATGTACAGCAGCAGAGGTATGGGGGTAAGGATTAGATCTGCAAAATTACATAAATACTGAATTATCCAAGTTAGATCATCCACCAATATGGGCACTTATTTAGTCTGTTGGGAACATTCCCCATGTTTTCCACAAAAATCATTGTATCTGCTTTCAATCCATTTTTACACTTCTGAGCAAATTTAACATAAACCTTAAAGGTACATTTCCAAGCTGACTGTTCCTAGACATTTGCTTTAGGAAGAAGAATCAGCACAGAAAAGCCTCTACATTTTTACCCTCTTCAGAGGGTTTTACAAAGGAGAAAGTAACAAGGAAAGGCAGTTAGGATGAACTGATATATTTTCTCAGACAAAATTGTGATGATTTGTGTCACAGAACTGTGACACAATTACTTTTACAGCTTGTTTTATTGAGTTACATGGATAGCTTGCTTTATTGAGTGGATCAAGATAGAAGTATGTACATCAATTAGACATAGGACATATGATTGGGAGAACTAATTGAGTCTCTTTGCTCCACTGGAGACCATTTCTTATTACTGGCAGGATTTCTTGGGCATGGCACAAACAAAGCCTTTTAACCAAGTTATCTCTCTGAGTTAAAAATACCTTTCAGTGACTGATTCTGGTTTTGTTCAGCTGGGAGACTTCTTGCATCTTTGTCCTAAAATTATGCCATGTTTGGAGGTTAAATTTTGGGTATAATCTATCTCAGCCTGTGTAAGAGAAAGCAGTCTGAACTAAGTAGCTAGAGGTTTCTAAACCAAAAAAGAATAAATGTGGTCCACAGTCTTTATCATTAGCTGAGCAGTAAGGATGAAAGAATGAAAAACACAAAGGCTTTTTTTCCGTCCCACATAATTAATTGGCTGATACCTGTATGTCTGGAGTGCTGTAATAAAAAGGGACATTTTTAGGGCACAAGTCACCAGATGGTGCTGTAACATACAGGTTTACATTTTTTTAATCAAGTGAGCACTGTTTGGTTCATGAAGAAATATTGTGATGCTGCTTTCATGATACATTTTCTTTTCTGGAGAGCTGCTGCAAAAACTTGAAAAAAAATCCTCCTGTGTTTTCCCTTTGTCTACAACAAACATATGGGGCAGAACTGCTTTGTAGAAATTTGCCATTCGTGCTGAGGGAAATACCTGAAAGAGAAAGATGCCCAAAGGCTATTTATGATCCACTGTGTAGTTGAGTGATTTGGTAATCCCCAAAATCCCTGAGCTAACTCAGAGAAACACTACAGCCTAGTCAGGCCATGATTCTATGATTCTGTGACAAGGCAGCATATTTCAGTCTGCAAAGGCTTTCTGGCATTCCCATTAAAGGTCTAATGGTTGGAGTTTCAAATACTGCTTTTCCAGGCCAAAAATGAAATAGATGAAAATTGTCTAAATTGTGTTTACATTTTTTGCACTCACTACCTGGTGGCTTTCCAAGCTAGCCTATGTTATGTGCTGCACTAAACCTCCCTCAGAAGAATAACCCAGACTATCTCCTAACACAGAATGAGTTGGGTTGGAAAAGACCTCTAAGAGCATTGATTCCAGCCATGAATCCAGTTCTGCCAAGCCCACCCCTGACCTGTGTCCCCAGGCACCACATCTGCACATCCTTTAAATCCCTCCAGGGACGGGGATTACACCAGGGCTGTTCCAGGCTTGACAACATTTCTAGTGCAGAAATTTTTGCTAATATCAAATCTAAACCTCCCCTGGTACAATTTCAGGCAGTTTCTTCTTGTTTATTATTTGTCATCTTGGAGAAGAGACCAACTCCCCACTGGCTACAACCACTTCCATGTGCTTGTTGAGGGTGATAAGGCCCAAGAGGAGGAAGCAATAATCATAAAGATGCTACTTGTACAATATCTGTTATTTTAAGCAATCCAGGTGTTTGTTCCTTATGAAAAGTTGAAGATATTCAAGTTGTGTCCACTGGGAAACTGATGTAGGAACTATTCAGGCCTCAATCTAAGAAAAAATAATCTTTTAGAAACATAATATTTCTCTTAGAAGAGTAATTTGGAATTACAGTGTTAATAAGAACTAGCAAAAATAATTGATCAGCCTAGAAATTCCTTCCCTCATCCTCAGTTTCCCATGTTACCAATGTTATTTAGAAGCTTGCATGGAAGATGATGGAAAATAAATTTGCAAATTTGGCATCTGGTTAAATTTCTAAATGAGAAAAACTCCCCTTTCTGACAAAGTAATTGTGCCAGTTCTCTAGGCTCAGAGTCCTACAGCAAAACCACAAAATGAGACTGAAACATGGATAAACAGAAAAAAAGTATTAGAAAAAGAAACAGACATAGAAGAAATCCTGTGTGTAAAAAGACTATTTTTAATATTTGGAACAAAAATGAAGGGGCTTCCTCCTCCTCCATGAATGTTTTAACCAGAATATATGGTGCTATTTCAAGTCTAGGGTCAGTCATCCTTACTTTTGTCAATGAGTTCCTTAGTGTCCTAAATCCTACCAAAATTGATAAATTCTAGTGGGGAATAAATTGCTACTGAGAATGAGGAAAGTTATGGGCATGAGTTCCTTCTAAATATAAAGAATATCAGTTTCCAATTACTATCAGCAAATTAAAACCAAGGAATTAGTATGCGAAACCTTTTTTTTGATATTGTTGTTGAGCACTTTCAGATGGACTGACAGAGAAGTTGTTATTCTAAATGAAACACAGTGATTTGAGTTCCTTTGTGGAACTGTACCTGACTGGTCCATCTCTTTAATCCGTGCTTCTGGATCCCAGCAGTTCTCTTGGATAACTCTAAAAACCTTTCCATCCTTCATCATCTTTGCCTGTCCCTGTGAAATGACATTTTCATATATTATAAATGTGACAAAGTAGTACCTGCTAATTTATAGTCTCTTGATATATTGTGCTCCTTACAGAAATACAGTGGCAAAATTTTGATCTTTTATTTCTATTCAGTAGGTATTTTTAAACAGAAAATATTTTAAAAATAGATATGAATAAAAGAGTAATTTATAGTTCTGATTTAATTCTTCATAATCATAAAAAAAATCCCTTTCCTTTTGCAATGCACATCACTGTATATTTATTTGGAAGAGAAACCAGGTACCTTAGTCCAAGTTTATCCTCAAACCAAATTTTGACCTCAAAACAATGCTCTAATTAAATCTGTGCTAAATTTTCCCTTTGGGTATGTGTGTGTTCAATAGCATCACTATGGTTCCAGTAACTACAGAAATAATTGTGTAACACAGTTAATTTCAGTCCAGTGATTTCTTACCACCAGTGATAACTCAGACAAAAGGAGACCTATTGTGTTGTCTTCAGACATGCTTTTATGCTTGTTTCCTTGGTAAGAAAAAAAATATTGAAGAATTTGGGAAAGAAAAGTCCCAAACAAATCTTATACACGGTATAAAACCATGACCTGAATTAGTGTAAAATTTTCTCATATGCCAACAATTTCCAGACTTAGGAAGTTCAAAATGTTATCAGCGCCATGAAATTTGTTCCTTTATCAGCCGGGAAGCTTTTGAAATGCCATATTTGGTTGATTTGTGAATTGTTCAGAGAGAGGGAGTGTCACCCCATTAAGGAAATTGTCTGTTACAATTTGGGGTGCCCACCAGCTGCTACAGACACAACAGGATTTCTGCTGGAGCAAATGGATGAGATACAACCAGCACCTGCAAGCCCTGAGTATTTCCTGGTTGTTTAGGCAGGGCAGTCTTTGGGCCATTCAAGAAAGGGATTTCTCTCTCTCTCCAAAGGGCACTTTATTTTTCCTCACAAAATTGGTCTTATTAAGGATCCTGTCAGTTTTTCTACAGAAAAGAACCTGTTAAATCAGAATATTTACTACCAGTGTGCCCAGACAGGGGCAGGGGGGTTTCTGTCCCCCTCTTCTGAGAACTCAAACTGTTCTTAACCTTGAATTTGTTACTATCTTCATACATCATTCACAAATATACTGTCCTAATGAATATTTTAAAGCCATCCTCAACAAATCTAAGTGTGCTGCCTTGGCAACCTGTCAAGTTACTTGTTAGCTGTATCATGGGTTGTGAAAATTATGTGAAATATTCCAACTGCAGGGTCCTGATCCCCTGGTGAAATACTTCAGGTTCTTGTAAAACTGGTTCTCCAACCTGATGGAGAGGTTTACTGTAGACATACACACTCAAATACGTTAAGGAAAGTTTAGTGTATTGATACAGGTTGTCCAATTAAAAAAAATAAAATTGGGATGTGAGAAAAAGGCACAGTAGAACCAAGCATTTCATCACATATGAATAGATCACCTGGACTTTACTGTTCTATTCTATACTTCCCTATTCCATCCCATCCTAAAAATTACCTAATATTTGTTTTGATTAATGTATGTGGAAATTAAGAGAGAGACATGTAAAAATTAAGTCCTGCAGGCTGATTTAGTTCAGCAAACTACATTTAAAATTCTCCCCTCACCAAACTACTCAGTCACATCCCAAAATGCACTTTTAAAGTATGCATGTAATTATTTTCTTCCAGTTTGACCCTGGTGCTTCTTCAGAGAATGATATGGGAGGCCTTTGAGGTTTTTTAAATCTTAGGAGTTAACATCCTCAGCTCCACATGTCTGAACAGGATTTTGTTTTGCCATGCACGTTTTGTCATGCAGCATTTCCAGACAGAAGCAGGCTGGATGGAATTCTCGGAGGGGTGTGTAAGGCCATTATTGACTTGCCACAAAGTTCCTCTGCAAAGTATTTTTAGCACAGAATTTTAGCACCAGACCTGTAACAAAATCACCAGAAATGTGTCCAGTCCCTGTCTCCTTCCTGCAGCTGCCATGTACCCCAAAATCTGTGTCATCTATGCTTTGGTTTACCAGGTGGCTTGTTCTTGTTTATTAAAATATCAGTTCCTTTTGGGTTTGCTTGTCATGACTGCATCTAATTCAGCCCAAATCTGTATGTAATCTGCTTTAGCCTGACCTTTCTTGTTGGAAAGACTTTCTCAGAGTTATCCATTCCAGTGTTAAAGTGAGATGATGAAGAGGAATGGATGCTGGTTCATACAAGAGGGTGTGAGTTTCATCCTTTAGGCAAAAGGTTCTGCTGACGTCTATTAGGACTTGGTCAGATACTACTTTGTAGGAAATAGACCTCTAGAGAAATCTGTATCAAAGACAGAGCCAATCTTATTGCCATTTTGCTTCTCTAACATATTTCCTGTGAGTTTCTATTCGTGATGATGACACAAGATCAGCTCTGAGTGCCAAAGAGCCCAAACCTTGCAGTGATGATCCAGCTGTACCCATCCACCATATCCATATCTCTGTGGAGGAAAGGAGAGAAAGCCAGGGCTAGTTAGCTCTCTGCACTAGTAATAATAATAACAATAATAATAACAATAATAATAATAATAATAATTGCAGTTCTTACAAAAATACCTCATTCAGGAGAAACCCTTACATGTGCTGAGCTCTGAGCCAGAGTAGCCTCACTGAAATCAGAAGTGTATAGCTGGACTGGACTAATGGTGTTTGTACAGCTGGAATTTTAGTTTCCAGTTCAACAGCATTTTTAAACAGCTGCTTTAGAAATGCTTAAAGTTGCTTGCTACATTGAGGTTCTAACTGAAATAATTTTGACACTGAAAATATTAAATTAAGCATCTGGCGGTGTGAAAATGGAGCTGACAACTTTCCAATCTGTGATCAGTTAATCATTAGCACAAAGATGCATTGATTCCACTTTTCAGCTTCCATGACTCAGCAGCAGGAGTGAAGGTCAGCCTCTTGTCTATTAATATTTAAACAGGGAAGAGAAGCTAAAAAGGAGAAGCTTAGATGCTCATTGATTCTTCCAGAGAGATTCAGAATTGTTCATGCAAAAAACGCAAAACCTACATAAGATGCTGATTTCCTTTTACTTTAATAAATTATCAATTAGAAAGGAATGAACTCTTGAAATCTCTGGGTGAAAACAATGCTCACAATTCCCATTTCTCCAAAAAAAAGGAAACATTTAAAATGAAACTCAGTAAGAGCAGGCATTTGTTTTGCTGAAGTGTAAACGATTTGGACACAGTCCTGAATTTCCTGTGATACCAAATCATCACTCAGTGCCACTGTGAGCTCTCCTGATGGGGGTGTGAAGAGCCAAACCTCCTGACCCCAGCCAGAAATGCAGTCACTGAGGCTGTGTGCTCTGTTTAACTATGCAACTATGTAAATTTTATTTAAATTTATACATCTAGAGGTTTGTACAAATACTGTACAAATACTGAAATTTTGGGAAATTTAATGAGTGACAACTAATGAGAACTTAAACTAGATCCATGCTAATTGCAGTTGTAAGCTAAGCAGAAAATAAGCACCTGAAATGGGTACTGAAGGAGCCCATAGGCAATAGAGAAACTCATTTTCAACTTATTTTATTCTTTCCTCCCCTCAGGTATTAGTTGTAGGCGTTGACATTCCATATCTGTTTTTTCTGTGATTTTCTATCCCTGTGATATTTTCCTAGGCTGTTAAATCAGGACCTTGACAATAGAATTTTCTAGTTTGAAGGTCCAATATTTACAAAGCTGGAAACAAGAAGTTTAGCACTAAATAAATGTGTGCAGGTTAAGATGCCTCATTGGTTTTCCTTGCATGATCTGTGTTAATGGCTTGAATTTCCACAGGACTCCAGGGAATTCTGAGAGTTGTTTTCTACTCTGAGCCCATTAATAAACCATTGAATCGCTCAGAACAGAGGGAAAAAAACCTAGCAGGTGGAAATTAAATTTTAAAAATTTGGTATTTTCCTCTTTATCTCTGTTTAAAGAAATGCAATGCTGGCCCACAGTGTCTAACATTAGTGAATTTAGTCTTGATGTACATCTGTGAACATCAAGGAATTTTGGGGTCATTTTAAGTTAGTGAACTTATTGCCCTTTTAAAGTACCTACAGACAAAAATATTTAATTTTTTTAAAAAACCCACATAACATCAGAATGAATTCTATAGCTGTTTTTATGAAGTTATTGCACAGACAACAAAATCTGAAATGTGCAAAAGCAACCTGACTTTCTGGTATGGATATTTAACCTCCTATCCATTTAAAACAGACATAAAATTATTATAAAAGTAACTGTAGCCTCACCTACATTATCCAGTGTATGTGTTTTTCATCAGGAGTGGCTATTATTATAAATAGGGTGTTCAAATAGATATTTATAAAAACCTTCCTAGCCAAACAAGGAAACAAACATTCCTTTCCAGGAGGTTTTGTGCATAATGATGTTATTTTTCACAACTAATGAAGAAATAATCCTATGTATGTTTTCAATGCCAGGTTTTCTCATGACTTTTTTTTTTCTAATATGCTGTTTACATTTCCCAGCTGCTCTCTCCCTAATATTGACTGAAACTGGACTGCTTAAAATCACAGCAATGCAGAGCTAATAGATATGAAATCCTTTCAGATTGATTACATTAAAACCTAAATGACATTTTTCATTCTAAAATGCATTTCACAGGATCATGAAAAAACATTGTGGACAAGAATGAATTTATGACGCTGAATAATAACAACAACAATAACAACAACAACAACAATAAGTTAACCGAAATTCACTTATAGCTTCAGTGCTCTGACAACTGAGATTTTCTGTTTTAAATACAACAGGCTACTTCTTTCCAGTAACTGAAAAAAGAACAGATATTAGTAAAATTATCATGATCAATTAGCTGTACTTAGAGTGACCCCACTCCCACTGAAGTTAATGATTTCATGCCTGTGGGTATAATGATGTGAATAAATTTGTCTTAGTTAACATTAATTTTGTCTAATATTTGATTATTTATTTTATTTAAAACAAAAGTGAACACCATTTAGGAGTGGAACAGAACAGCTCTATTTTTATCAAGAAAGTGGAATTTATACCTTATTATCCCAAAATTTTGTGTCTCAAAAAACGCAAGGAAAACTTTAAGAATTGCTTCAGAATAAATAAAAAATGGGGAACAGACCCCAGTTTTACACGCTCTTCTGACTGGAGTATTTTCAAAGTAGTGAAATACAAATATTTTACAGTTGGAAAAATATCCCAAATTAGACAAAAACCTAGAGATATTTACCCCAGAGCCCTTCATTCATTTATTCTTCCAAAAATCACATCGGTAGAAATGGCTGCTGATAACCTAAGGCACTGAATATCTAAACTCTTATTACCTTTTTCAGGTCGGGCCATTCCTTAGGTAGAATGTGGCTATGGATGTCAATTTTCATTTTTGACGTGCCAGAGGTGAAATTCTCCTCCAGTGCTGAAGTTTTGTGTGTCAGTGCTGTGTGACAGGCCCTGCTGTCCCTGGGTCACAGGTTGTCCCCTTTGGCTGCTGCCCAGATCCACCTGCTGTCCTATCGGGAGAATGGCATACAGTGGCCAACCAGGGAGCCTAATTCCAGAGGAGTGGCTCTTCAAAAGAACAAAGAGTTTGAGCAGAAAGTCCCCAGGGCAAAGGGAAAGTACTTGAGCAGCTGACCGAGGGCAAAGGGAAAATATTTGTTTATATCGGCACTATGAAGGGATTTATTTTACACGGCATCTAAAATGTCAAAAATAAGTCAATAAAATTTTGTTAGTATAAATGTATTAAGCATGCTGACTTGAATTTCCTTCTTTCTCCCTCTTGGGTTGTGAAATTATTTGTAGAGGGCATGTAATATACCCTTGGAAGAATCACATATCCTCATCTATTCTCTGTTTTTCTTGCATTTTCTTCAAAGTTATATTAAACCCCCTCCAAAATATTGATTTTTAGCCAAATCTATGCTCTGCATTTTATATTCCCCCTCCTCATCATTGGTTCACTCAGGATATTTACACAAGCTACTGCATAATGGTGCTTACAGCCTCTCAAGATGCCTCAAATATACAGGAATACATAGATGTATTTCAAATATACCAGCTTCTGCATCCTAAGTTAGGCTTAACTGGAGCTATTTCAGATTTCCTGTGAAACTACATCTCATCTTTTGCCCTTTACTCAATTTAGAATTACACTTTGCTTAAGATACCCTTGCTCTTTATTTGCGCTGTATTTTTGTCTGTAATTTATTCCCCCTGTAGTTTTATTTCAGTATATGTTACTCACACACCGTCCTCTTGCGAGTGTTTGTTAACCATTCCCTGATTAGTTTTTTTAGTGAAAAATGCTGTTTTTCTTTCCCCAAACCCAAATGCTATTGTGAATCTTGCAACTTGATTAGTTTTTTAGTGAAACATGCTGAATTTCTTTCCCAAACCCAAATGCTGTTGTGAATCTTGCAACTTGAAATCAAGCATCTCGAAAAATAAACATCTTGGCCCATTTTGTTTTATCCTTTTCCTGACCTTTGTATTTTATTTGGGCTTGAAAAAATCCCCAGACTCTTGCATTTCCCTACTTGCTCAGTCATTAAACAAGTCTGCTTTGGATTTGGTCAGATAACTTTCATAGGAGTTATTTTTCATGTCAGCTTCTTGTGACAGGGTTGGTTGGTTGGTTGGTTGGTTGGTCAGTTGGGTTGGTCAGTTGGTTGGTCAGTTGGTTTGTTGGTTGGTTGGTTGGTTTGTTGGTTGGTTGGTTGGTTGGTCGGTTGGTTGGTTGGTTGGTCAGTTGGTTTGTTGGTTTGTTGGTTGGTTGGTCAGTTGGTTGGTTGGTTGGTTGATCTTTTACTTCCCTGCAGCACGAGGTCACTTAATGTTCCAAAGAAATAGGAAGCAGCAGAAAAGTATTCCCTAAATGAAGCAAGACAGCCAACAATTTGCTGTAACAGATCAAAACCCTGTGATGGAAAATAGCAATTATTTCTGTCTCAAACCCAACTCAATCTGTCCATGGCCAGGCTGCCAGGTTAAGCAGCACATTGTCTCCCCTGCCCCCAGGTGTGACAGGCAGGCTGTGTGATGTGGCACTGCAGTGTCAGCCTGTTGACAGCAGAGCTCCTGCATGGACTACAGCTGACAGAAGAAAGAAGTATTGATTCAGCTCTGGGAGCTCTGCATCCTGATGGGAGGCAAACACTGAAAGTGAGACATCTCCAATGAAGAGATGTCTGCAAGACAATGCCCTGCTTGAGCACAGAAAGCAGAGTGAAGTGAAGGAGAGGGGCACGGAGAGATTTGTGCACCTGAATAGTCCAAAACACCAAGAGTCTTCAGTCACCAAAGCTGCAGGATTCCATGCAGAGCTCAGCTGCATTTCTTCAACACTGAGCTTAATTTTCCTCAGCTCTAAAAAAAGCTGTAGCTGTTAGTTACTGCTCCCAAGGCACAGCTTAGCTTGCAAACACTGTAGTACTCCCACGCTGCATTTCATTTGTCACAACACATCATTTGGAAGCCACACCAGTTGAAGGCAAAGTGTGTGTCCATGCCACTTGGTCAGAGGGCAGTGAGACATCTGTCTGTGTCCAGCATGAGCCATTGGGCCAGCAGCAGAGACCTTCACTGGTTGGGAACAAAAAGCTCTTGAGATACTCAGGCACCAAATGTACTCTGAACTGGAAAACATGACTAACAACTCCTCCAAGGACAATCCAGCTAGAGGCTGTTCAGCCAAGGCTGATTTCAGACACACACACAAGCCTAGCAGATATAGAGGGTTTCATTTCAGTGTAGGGACAAGCACTAAAGTGAAAGTGGTGTTAATTGGAGGGCAGTAAGTGCTCTTTTCTGAAGCTATTTAGCTGCTTTTCTGAAGTGTAGAATCTGAGATTTGGAGTCTTCGGGATGGAAATTCGGTGTTATATTCTGGCTTTGCTTGCCGGGGTGAAAAGTGTTTCTTTGTGTCAGTGGGAAAACCCTGACATCTTCAAAAGAGGCTGCACCAACAAACACTGGAGAGCCCTGCAGAGAGCTCTGCCACATCCATGCTCCAAGGCAGCCCGTTTTCAATTAGGCTGAACAAAGAGGCAAATTCAGGATGCTGATCTCAGAAAGGGCTAAAGCACTCGCACCAGTTTTTTATACCTTCCATTTTGCCTGTTCCTCTCTGGCTCCTGTTCTTGGGCGTGCACACTTGGTTGTGCAAATTGGCTGTTTCACACATGTGCACAGCTACGGAAAAACAAGTAGAAAACTCTTTGTGCTCGGTAGCTAAGATGAAGTACTTAAAGAATACGTTCTTTCCAAATGAAATAAATGTTGAGCAGCACACTTATATTGGTTGCTTAGCAACAGGTTATCCTTTGGCTGTGCTGGGGACTGCACAGGTCCTCTGAGACTGCCATTACAGACCTGCTTGGAAATGTCAGATTTGGAAAGGATGCAAAAGTCAGTAATTCTATTTTTTTTCCTGTGGTATCAAATAATTAAACCTCTCCTATTAAATTAGCCTGATCACAGAACTTAAACCTCTTCTGGGACTCAAAAGCACACAGACTTCAGTGGGAGAGGTGTGGTCTGAGTTCTGCAGGGAAGAGCAACAATGGTTATGGTTTCCCTCCTAATGAGGAATTGCATTATGCAGTTCCCATGCAGCACTTTCCATGTGGAGCTCTCAAGTGCTATTTTTCTCAAGAAAACATTATTTCACCTAGCACAGCTACACCAGGAAGACATATCCAGCTACAGCTACACCAGTAGAGTCCTTAACCAAGATGTATCCTGGAGAATGAGTGGTATTGTGATTCCCTGTTCTCCAGTGCAATAAAACAAACACTCCAGTGGCTGCCTAAGCTCCTGGTGGCTTGCACAGACAGCTGGACTGTAACGCCAGGGTTTTCTTTATACACATTCAGAGAGGCAACTGGGAAGGCACACACACCTCCAATCCACAGCCAGCTAAAGCAGCTCACGGTGGCAGCAGCGCAGGTGTGCTCATCATTAAATCCTGAAGGGCAGCAGATTTTTCTCTTTGTTATGAAAAAGCCTTAGCAGAAACAAAGAGCTGTGAGAGCCTCTGTTTACACAGACATCAGAGCTGCTGCTGCTCTGTGCCCTGAGCCCATTTAGCCCTGCAGAGCACTGGGGCTTTTTAGCTCAGGTGTGGCACTGTCCTGGTGCCCCTCTGATGCTTCCAAGGTCTCAGCTATTAACTCTGCATGGTGAAGCTCCGCGGTTGCACAAGCTCAGGGTGATGCTCTCCAGGTGGGGACGGCTGCCACAGCCTTTTTGGGTCACTAAAATTTGTAATGTAAAGGTGTCCAAGGCTGCTGACGCCTTTGGCAGCACTGCTCTGTGACCACCACCCTGCGAGAGTTCTGATGAATCACACAGTGGTGAAAGCAAACAGTGTCCTCTGCCAAATTCCTGACCATTACCGTGTTCTCTGTACCTAAGTGAAGCCATTAAAAAATACTTATTGCTAGAAAATATTACATAGTTGAAATTCAACTGCCATTCTAAAATAATAAAAGAAAATTATATGGCTAACCTTCAAATAACATAATTATTTTCTTTATAGACTACAGTTGCAATCCTGCAATTTACACTTACCATGCATTTATCCTGCATAGAGATATTCTACCAAAAATGTAATTAAATAGATATTTTCTAAAATGTCAGTATGAAAAAATTAGAACTTTATTTTTTTCCCCCCATGATTAGACTCAAGCAAATAAAAAATACTCTATTTAAGCATGAACCAGGCCAAGGTTCACTCCTGGGCTGTGACAGCAACCAGACAGATATCAGCAGCATAAACATGGGCCAGAAAGAACAGATGGAATGAAGCTTACAGATACCAAAAAATCATAATTTTCAAGTTAATACCCCATGGTAACATCTGAAATAGTTTCAATTATTTTGAAGGCTGGTGCCTAAAACAAATAAATAATAACACCTGCTGTATGTTGTCTCAACAACTTTTTTTCCTGTTTGCTAGATAGCCAAATCCTCACTTTTCCCTTGTTGCAGAGGCCTCTCTGTGGCACCCTTTGGGCACATCTGAGTTCTGGGGACAAGGAGAGTGTTCTCAGAGCTTTCAGGGAGGAAGGGAGTGCCAAAGCACACACCTCTCCAGCTCTGCAGGTGTTTTCAATGTAAATGTTTGGGGTTTTGTGCTGCAGCTACATTTATTCATTCATCTGGAGAGGGGAGTTTGGCAGGGAATTCCTCCCCAGAACATTTCTGGAGCCTGCTTTCACTAGCTGAGTCCATCTACAAACAGGCAGGTAAAACTGCCTTTTGTTTTTTTATTGCAACATTAGGAATTTAATAACACCCTCTGAGGATGAGCCACCTTCTTCACAATTTCTAAAATAGATCCACGACTTCCTGGCTGTGTTTAAATGTGCTTTACTAATTTGCTTGATTTTGTTTTTTCTTTATTTGCTAAAAAAAGATTAAGAAATTGGCACTTTCGTGCTCACAACTACAGCCAGGACTGTATTACTGATACACCAAAACATCTGTGTTAATTTCTGTGTGTGAAGATCAGAAAAAAAGCTGCTCCTAAATAAGATCTATTTTCTCCTTCAGGATATTGCCACTCATCTCCATCCAATGTTTCATTTAAACTTTTTAACAATTGAAAAAAATTCAGGTGTTTTAGAAGAGCTCTATGTTAATTAATAATTTCAGACCCAACAGAAAGACCCCATAAGTCACCAGGAAACCCAGTTGTTACTGCAGAGATCAATCAAGTGGAGATTCAAAAAGCAATTTGGAAAGACAGACCTGGAAAGACAGACCCATTTAGATGAGGAATCACAGGTAAATGAGCTCAGTAATTAAACACCAGAGTGCTGCTTTTGGACTCGGTGTGATGGCCCGTGCCAGCTTGGTGCCTCAAAAGCAAGATGTGCGTTATAAATCAGGAATTTAAAATGCTGTTGGTGCAGCTCCCTGTGATGCTGCAGGCTGCAGTTGGTGGAGCACAAGCAGAGGCTGCAGAGCTCCCAGAGAGCACAAATCTCCCATGGATGGCCCTGGGATGTGACCCGGGCTGGCCCTCCCTGGTGCCTCTGCAATGTCAGAGCAGGACTGGGCAGAGCTGAGCACGGCGCTGATTTATAATCAGTGCTTTACACATTCATATCATGCACTGCCTGGGAATGGGTGCTTTAAAATCCCTTTGTCTCGAGAAATTCAGCTTTTTCAGGAACAGAAATGCCTCCAAATATCCATTTTGCTTGTCTCTGCTGTATGTTATTGAACAACTGGGTGTATTGAAATCCCTTGGGGCACAACCATTAGGATCCCAATGTAGGATGCATGCTTCAAATGCCAGGATTGGGATGGTGCTTCTCACTGAGTGTTCACCATTAATAATAAATAATAAAGGAAATTTCTGTCACTAACCGTTCTATATGAAAATCTGGTAACTAGCAATACGATTTCATACCATTTGTGAAACTCTCAAGTTTTGGATCCTAGTAATGAAATACATGTGTTTATTAAAATTAATCAATAATACAATTAATGTATTATTGTAATGTAATAGGAATTAATGAATTATTGTAATTTAATAGGAATTAACATGATTAATGCCTATTAATTTATAATATTACTTACCAACCAAAAACTACATTCAATCTCTTCATCTCCAGTGACAAGAGGAAACTGAAACAAATTAGAGCATCTCCAGTTGCTCTAA